CTAATCCCTTTAAAAAAATACAAACAAGTTGGCAACACAAATAGCTTGAGAGACTAAAAAAACAAACCCAGACTGTATGTGAGATGAAGATGCCACGAGGGGAGGGGATAAGTGTATTAATGATCCATAAGTGGTCCAATAAGCAGATTAACATTTAGTTGGATGTGCCACACAAACAAATCAAAGAAATCTGGATTCAAGACACATTTTATATGTAAAAAATAAACCACAGATTCATCTTGAACAGGTGCAGGTGCACCTTTTGGAGAGCAGCAGTGCAGATATATAGCATGCAGTTCATTTCTAGTCAAGTTCCTCCATATGCAGCAAGTCACAATGTGTTCAGCTAAAGCCAAGACATAAGCTGAGCTGCAGGGTGCCAATCTGGCAACCGTCCCAAACACAGACCTATAGATCTGTACTTTACAGAGTGGCCCTCCCTGTATTCACAACCCCTCACAAACCCAAATGTACGGAGTGTAAAGTATGCAAACTATTAACGCACACACACATTAGCCTAAACTTCACAATCACTTCTTTTGCTGTCAAAGTCCCACGCCTATAAAACAGTGAAAGTGACAAAAGCCACTGCTCCTACCATCACCTCATTTCTCTGTTATTACGTAGGAATCAACAATTTTGCGCAACCGAGCGATTGCTTTTAAATCCTTTGTTGAGGATACAAACGCAGTTTCTTAACTTTAAGAGCCCCATGTAGGGTCACATGAAATGCAAAGAGAGATAAATACATTTCTTTACAACAGCTAAATTATAATTTCTGTGAAATTCTTGCAAACAGAATACAGAAGTATGTATAAAGAGAAATATTCAAATTCATGACTTGCTGGAGTTTGAAGAGCTCTGATACCCGACCTGTCACAGTCAGGTTTAAGTCATTTTGTTGCATAAAGCTTTGGTTTTCAGTGGTGGAATGTAACTATGTAAATTTACTCAAGTACTGTACCTAAATATAATTTTGAGGTTCTTGTACTTCACTTGAGTATTTTCATTTCATGCTACTTTATACTTTTACTCCACTATATTTATTTGACTAATAAATAATGATGTATTATTAAGGATTAAGCTAACTTGAGATGACTAAATTCTGCAATTTTACTTTTGGTACTTGAAGTATCTTTTTAATGCAGCACTATTACTTGTGAGTTTTACTTAAAGGGCCGGTACTATTATGTCTTAACAAAATTTGATGGCAATCAATTCAATAGTTGTTGAGATATTTCAGTCTGGACCAAAGTAGTGGACTGAGGCATAGCTAAAAACAAGGTTATGGGCCGACACAGGTTGAGAAAACCCGTTTCAAAATGAGAACATATTTGAGGATTTTATTGTAGAGTTTTTCATCACTTCTCTGTCTGTTGTCTTTGGCAGAAATTCTACTGTGACATTATTGTTGTAAATAATGTGGTTACCACCGCTGCAGTCTTCGGCAGTTTAACAGATTAAATATGAAATAAAGGGATGTGACTAACTAAGTTCAAAACCTCCGTCGTCACAGCTCATGAGACCTCAAGTTAACCTGCTCAGAGATTTTCATGCAAGGGCCAAACAGCAATGTTGCTAATGCCGCGGCTGCTAATCTGAAGCGTGTGGCCTAGAATGCTAACGAGCATGTGTACTGCATGTGTGTGTCGGTCGTGACTCACATGGCAGGGATTCAGAGGCACAGAGGCATGAAGCATTCATCGTTGACCGAGAACATTTATTGTTTCCATGTCTTTAATGAGTTCTGGTGGTTCAGTCTGTGGAAAAAATAACACAGAAGACTATAATATTTAAAATATAATATTAAAAGTGTTAAAGCAGAATTCAGTGCAACTTAATTATGTATCCAAGTACTTTTGCAAAGAGCAATTTTCTGGTGCTTTTATTGTTCTACTTCACTACTTCTCAGAGGGATATATACTTTTAACTCCATTCATCAGACAGCTAGGGTTACTTATCAGATAAGGATTTATTTTTCACTTAAATCTTTATTAGCAACATTACATGATGACAGGAAATGGTTTTTGAGAAATGCATTTTCTCATCACGTTTTCCATGCATTCATAGCTGGTTCTGATGTTGCGGTTTTGAGTCTTGTTTAATGTCCATTTTCACCATTTTTCTTCCAGTTGTGCTTATTGTCGTCTCAATATCGTAAGTGTTAGTTTGTCAGGTTTTTTCTTCAGTATTTACTAGTCATTGGTCCTGTGGCTAGGGAGCCGTTTTTTCCCCAATTATTCGGGGAGCTACTTGCTATTAATAGTATTTTATCCAAATATCTGTCTCTTTCTGTGTTACTCTGTCTTCAGAAGAATTTTAGACATAAAGTGACGTCTGCACAAAAAGACAAACTGTGCCAAAGACAAACCAGTAAGTGTGTCACAATACTAGCTTCATTATAGTCAGCATTGCTTATGTAATATCACAGATCTTTTGCACACATATGGACCAGTTCACTATTTTTATATTATCAGCTATATTGTCTCTACAAAGTTTATTCTTGACCTTAGAAACAGCAGTTTCTGTAACAACAGAAAAATTATCAGCAACTCTTTTGATATGAGTAATCTTACAAGGAAAAATTGGAAAATGAATCCTGTATATAACTTCCCAAGTGAGAGAATTTGCTGATTTTCGTTCTCATAATTTTGTGTAAACTGAACATTTGGAATCTACTAACATTACTTTGGGCTCTTGGAAGTTCTGGGGGTCGTTTTTGGTCAAGCTTTCTTGCTTTTATCTTGTATCTAGTCATATTGATAATTTTTTACTGTCTCCTTATCCCCCCCCCCCACACACTTTTAAAGTTCCTACTTACATCTTTTAATGCAGCAACACACACACACACACACACACACACACACACACACACACACACACACACTCTGCAGCATACTGTATTCACTTGAAGGGTACATAATGGCTCCTTTAAGTGCTGGCACAGACCGGAGAGCAGTAAGAGGCTTTTGCCTAAAGCTACAGCCGAGCAGCAGCAGCAGCACTGTGTCCTGGTTGCAGGTTAAGCCTTCGGCCTCAACTCCCGTTCACCTGCCCCTCTTACCTCTAAACACACTTTGTGAGGTCCCCTCGTCTTTCTCCTGGATTCTTCAGTCCTGTGTTCTCTGAGAAGGCGTGAGGAGGCCCAGAGTTGACAGGATGGTTGATGAAGATGGTGCAGGAGTTGAGAAGAAGCTGAGGAAATCTGTCTATAAGTTCCTATTTTTTCTGTCAGTCCCCCTTCTTTGTTTGAAAATCCTTCACCTGATCTCGGTGTCTTTTGTTCTCTCGTGGTCCCAGCCTGCCTGTACCGTGTGTGGTTCAGCGTTTGCTGCCCAGTTACAGGTTGATGTCTGGGTCAGTGACGGGGCTCCAGACTCGCTCGCTGCATCTCATTCATGGCTGCTGATCCTGATTAGCTGGGAGGTGGAGCCTGTTGGTGGTGGATACAGAGACCAGCTGGGAGATGACCCAGGGCACGAATTCCAAGTTGTTACCACATGCTAATTAAATTTAAAAAGGGTCAGTTCACTGAAATTACAAGACAAAAACACATTTTCTCACTTATCTCTAGTGGTAGCTTTCCGTGCAGATGGTTTTAGTTTTATGTGCCCAGATTCTGAGATACATAACAGTTCAAAGGTTTGGGATCAGCTGTTATATCATTTTTTTCTTCTTTCCTTCAATTATCACAGTTTTCTTCATCTGTTATTATAGTCATCATTCAGACTTCACATGTATTATATAAATGTAAAATTGTTTTGGCCCCAAAGGAAGAATAATTAAATGATTTAAAGGTCCATGATCGGGGAGAATTCTGTTGGAATTTCAGGAAGTCCAGAAAAGCACCTTTATTGAACCACAATGATGCCATTGGGCTCAAGATGCTGAGTTTGTGCAGTCTACTCATTGGTTAGATTGAAGAGGTTTAAACTGTGATTATTTTGCACTTGACACTGAACACTGCACACATTTTGATGCTAAGTTTCCATTATGTTTTACCAACGACTGGTGACTTCTTCTATTCTTCCTGAACTGTTGCTCAGAGGGATCTTTGTCTCTTTCTGCCCTTTCAAATCAGTCGGGTTGAACCATTGAACAGCATTTTGTTCTTCATGTACACAACACACAAACAATTCTGTTTTCTGCTACGTTATAAATAACTAATCAACACAAAATGAAAGTTCCCCGTTGTAGCTTTAATTCAAATAAAATGATGACAAACCCAGAATAGGTTTTGCTGTTTTATTTCAAAGTCATGCCACAAGTTGACATTAAATACAAAAGAAAAAATAATGATTTCAGATTGTAGCTTTAAACCACAGTGTAACCGAGAACCAAATTCAATGAACACGCATTGAGAAAAAAAAAAAAAAAAAAAAAAAAAAGGAAAGCTCACGCCGAAAAGAACACACAGACAAGCACACAGTACAGAACATACAGCACAGCCCTCTGAAACCTAGCTATCAGTAAACATACCGGTTTGGAACGCAAGGTAAAGTGTATATATAAAATTAACAAGGTTATAAAATACTGATAGAAGATACTTGTTATAAAGACCGTAGCATCTTCTAGAAGTGTCACCATGCAGTAGGTATTCCAGTCTCCAGTTAATAAACATCAGCAGAAAAATACAAGAAGAATCACAAGCTCATTCCTTGAGTGGACAGGACTCAGCCTCAGATAGAAATGTCAATGACAAGAATGCGGAAGGTATCCGGTCACCGAACAAGAGTCAAATTCAATACAGTACCTGGCGTACTCTTCCTGGAACCAATGTCTTGTAGCATTAGACACATGCAGCAGTATCCAAAAAGCTATAAGATCAGAAGGCAAGCAAACCTCAACTGCCATCATGTCATTGTTGATAAACAGGAAAAAGCCTCTTAAATAACCACAAAAAAAAAATAATCACACTTTTCGGCACTCAAATATTTTCATTTTGTCTATCTACCTTATTCCTAGTCCCATGATACCTTGTTATTGTTATGCTACAAATGTATTCCCTTCTCTCAGAAGTGTTTTTCGGAAGTACATCATGTGGTAACACAACCGGTCACACCTTAAAGAGCGCAGACATCCGCCAAAACCAAAAACCCCAATCTTACAAAGGTAAAGAAAGTAAATAATAATCTGTGTATCCACCCCGTGATGCGAATCCACTCAAATTGGATCATGAAATCATATAATGTGCGATATGTAAAGATTCTAATCTTAAATTCTTCAGATTCAGTCGTTCTCATAAAGATATTTCATATTTGCGACTGACATCGGTTGAGCAATGGCGTCACCCGAGGGAGACATACAGCTAAATAAACAGCTTTATCTGAAGTCAGCTTAGTTCTTTACCTCAAATTACTTCCTTTTTAGATCTTTACAGCCCAAATTGCAATGCTTATATACTGTGCAAGCTGCTGGTTGGCGCCCATGTATGCTTTGGTACAAGAACACATGAAAACTGGCATTCTTTGAGGATTGGCATGTTTGTCTGCCCCCATTAACTCCAGTCCACTCATTCAGTGTGTTGTCCAACGTAATCACCTAGTCGTACGTTTTATGCTCCTTCTTGACCGTCAATGACTTCAAGTTTGTCCCAATGATAAAGCTAAGCTAACGTAGTTTGTTACTGCTATCCGGGGCCACCACTTCTGTTTGTCTCCCATCGCTCAGTAGCATTTGCGGACACCATGGACGTGTAGAAGCTGTGTTTGTACTCTCCGCTTGTTGAGCGCGTTCCAGACATTCGTAGTAGATTGCAGCGTGTAGTGGACGCGCTATAGGGTTGGGGTGTAGTAGGATATCTGAAAAAGTCAGTTTTCCTATAGATTGAAGTAGCATATTTCCCAAAATGTCCTTTGGTGGGTGTGACAGGCTGCATTCCCACATCATATATTTCTCCATAATTTCTCTGAGAAAAAGGAAGACAGCTTTAGCATACGGCTAACTTGTCGCCATAATTCATGCAATGTATTATGGGGCTTGGAATAAGGTAAATAATGTATTTGATTCCTCTTCGTATTCCTGCTGATCACTAGAGGTCATCATCTTCCTCTTTTCAAATACATTTCTAGAATATTCTGTACAACATCCATCAAAACATGGATCCCATGATAACAACTGATAAGTCAAGTTGCTGCTACTTTTATATACATACTGTATTCTGCAGGTTACTGAATACAAAATATTAGAAAACTGGATACTGTTGTAATGCATGCAAGTGTGCAACAAAAGCCTTCTACTTCACACAGTATGTTTATCAAAGTAGCAACAGCAGATTAGGTTTTACATCACTCAGAGAAAATAAATATATATATATGTATATTTATATATATATATTCTGTGATTCGTAATGCTGCGAGCAGATTTGAAGCGGTTTTGCTACATGCACTGGCATTTTTTTGGATTCGTACAAAAGTCAGACGCAGTTCATTCGAAGGGTTTGGTGTTCTTAAAACCGGCTTTGGCGTGGCCGTGCGGAAAGTATGTACAGAAAACCGATAAGCATTATAGCAAATGTCAAAAAAATCAGTCAAGGTCCGTACACTCCAACCAAGGCTGGTTAGTCTAGAAGCTGGAGTGTATTCAGTACACGTGTATACGTGTATGTGTGTGTGTGTGTGTGTGTGTGTGTGTGTGTGTGTGTGTGTGTGTGTGGTTAACAGTGAAAGCCTTAACACTTTTGGCAAAGAATCACGATCTGCAACGATTACAGTGTGAGTAAGAATAGCAACGCAATGAGAATCACTTCATGACAAAGACAGAAGCAGAAGAGGACATAGTGGAGACAAAAAAGAAATTCAAAAGGATGACTTCACCCGTCATACATTTGTCCAACAGTCACATACCAAATGTCTTTACAAAAGCATCCCTTGTTTAGTACTGTTTGTCTTTTTGGCACTGCTGTGGCACATGAGTTTGACATGGTTTCACATTGAGCTTGACACACTGCTATTTTGGCTCCTTGCTCTTAAATATACTGTAGGATTGCGAGTGACACAGTGACTCTGAAGCCCCAAATACTCCAATATATCAAAGCTGTCAGGTTGGATGGTGGATGTTATATTTCTGTGTCACATATGTAAAAAACAATTTAAATAGGGAGTGACAAAATAACAAGTGGTTGCTGCTGAAAACCTGTTAATGTAAAATACTGGCATCAGATAAAGATAAACTCTGGAATATAAAAGTCCAATCGGCAAAACAGAATGCAAATTGTGATGTGGGGAAAGTTGCATGAAATTTTCGCCATATCAGGGTTTTCATGTGTGTCTGTTAGTCTTTAAGTGACGCCAGTGTCACCGAGCCCAAATGTGTGCCTCTACTGTCTTACTTTTACAGAGAGCTGAACATACGTTTTTCTAAACGTCAAGAATTACAAGAAATGTAAAAATCAAGAAGTTCTTTAAACAAAACTAATGTACAGAATCCTTCAAGACTCTTCTCACCATGTGGATGAGAACATATTAGATCCACTGAATAATATAAAAAATGTTTGATCTGTTTTCACAGTTGTTACTCTATTGCCTATTCAAGGAGCTGGACATAACATATTGCGCATTAATTACATAACTTTTAAGTTTGGTCACATTGTAAAAAATTTAGCAAGAACATGTGTCTTTGTTTGGATTAGGAAGCAACTGGTGAAGCAATTTCTACGTCGTTAGTCTGGTCGCCAGAGGAAACTTCTGATACGAGCATCTGATTCTTGTTTGCATTTTTTGCAAATTTGTTTTAATCCAGTTTGAAAAAAACAAGTCTTTGAGGATTGTGGAAATTCTTTCAGAGCAACTTTTTCAAAGATTGACGAATATTACTTTTGTTAAAAATCAGGGCGCTTAGCTCGGTGACTCGATTGTAACTGTAAACATGAGAGGCACGAAAAAGAAGCAAGTTTCACCACCAGGTCTATGAAGTGTCAGTTTCACCAAATCCAAGCAGCAACCTACACATTTGGCACCAACAATCTCTCACAATAACCCTTCAGAACGCCCTCGTTTGAAGCTGAACATATTCACAGTATGATTTTGAACATATTCACACAAATACGTACAGCCACACCTGGAAGCTGCAGAATAGCCGGCCATTACGAGGCTCCACTGGTGCATTTAGGAGGCCAGTGCCTTGCACAAGGACACTCAGCGAGGGAGGAAGAAGGGATTCTTTCTTTTCCCACCTGGTGTGTAAATAAAAACCCGAAACTTTCCAGGCACAGGCTCACATGTCTAACCTCACACTGCGTGGCACCACAGTTTCTGACAAAGTCTGTCTGCAAGCTAAAATGTTCCAAATTCAGTCTTGTTACGTTACCTAACACTCATGTTCTGTCCCAAACAATATAAACGAGCACAGAGAAGATAAATAGCACCTAAATAGAAGTCAATAACTGCTGCTAATGTTCACAGATGCTAGAGGCATTATGAATGCATCGCTGTATTACAAGACATAATTGTTTCAAACGTGTTGATATGATCAGACTGACATGAGGTGCATCAGTGTAAGACATGCTGACTGCTCAAAACTAGCATTTCCAAGACTTTTTGAGATAGAAAGAATAAATATATATAGTAACAATTAAACAGTACAATACAAGGCCATGAACATATTGGAAATAAATAACCCATGCAAGACACATTTATAAAGATGCTGTACACAAAGGTGTGTGATCAATTAAATGCCATGTGTAACAGTTCAAGTAATGGAAAAAGGCGCTGAAAGAAAATCAGGAAAACGGACTTGATAGTTCGACTGAGAGATTAGTCCACTAACTGTTTGTCTTACATTCAAAAGGAAATGTCTCGATAATGACTGTAACATACATTTTTAATTCCTATTCTGGAAAAAAAAGACTAAGACGTAACAGAAGTCAATAAAATGTGGAATTAAAAGTCTCTGCAATGATATCGCACTTTCAGCAAAGAAGAAGAAAAAAAACAAACACACGTTATGATTTTCTGTCTGGGCTTCTGTCACAAAAAGCCCACGTGCCAAAAGGTCAAATTGAATGGTCACATGATCATAGTTCATCATAGATAGATGAAATTGTACCAGTGTTGGTTCAATATGCCAAAGCCATCTGACATCCTTCTGAAATCACGAAACAGTTCATCCCATGTTGTTTTTCTGCTGTGGAGGCAAAGTCAGGATCAAGGCGATGGCACGGGTTGTTTGGCAGGACGCCTTCTCAGCTCGCCCTCCTCTTTCTTCCATTAATAAAGGTCTTTTTTTACACCCTTAAAAATCAAATAAAGTGCAAGGTGTGTGTTTCGCTAAAGGGCTCTTTTCCTTTCAGTTCACACCTTTCCACATCCACAGAAATTGTCTTCTTCCAGATACAACGTGGATTAAGAGATATACATTCATTCACCCTCAAGCACTCGTGGATACTTGCTCTGCAACACACAAACACGCTCACACGCACACACGCACACACACACACACACACACACACACACACACACACACACACACACGCCTGTTCTGTGCCAACAGCAGGAGCACGGCTGCTGTCTCTTGGGGTCACGTGACTTAAGTCTTTGGCCCGGGCCAAAAGACTCAAGTCAGAGGAAGCGTCAGGCAGTGGTGTTGCCGTTAAGAGATGATGTGGCACAGGGGGTGGTGGTTTGTAGCTAGGCTTGGGCCAGGCCAGGCCAGGCCAGGGCGGTCCGAAAGGGACTAAGAGAGCGGAGGCTCATCTTTGGTCCCATAAAGCACTTGATTATGTCAGGGTGAATCTTAGCACTCCGCTGGATTGAGAAGATGTACACATGAGGGGAGGGGGGATGATCAAAGAGGGAAGGGTAGCACTATCAAAAGCACCGGCTGCTAAGCTACGACCGGAGAGACCAGAGAGCACAGGCAAAGAGTCTAGTTTTTTTTTTTTTTTTTTTTTAAGCCATGCAGTTTTGAGATCGTCCATAGCAGCCGGCAGAAAGCGTCTCGGGGAGTTTGACATGTTTTTTAAAGATGGAAGACGGGAGGCAAGATTTCACACATGAGCGCGCTCACAGAACAACACAGAAAAGCTCTCAGTAAAGAGGGAGAGAGTAGCTGCTGCTGGCTTTCCTTTGTAAAGTCCACAATACAAAGTGACAGACAGTGCTGCATGCTCTCAAAAGCTCCGGCATACTGGTGAAGACTTGAGGTGTCTGGGTGGGACGACTGGGTGGGACAATTATCCGCGGATATAAAAGAGTATACGTTATGCTAATATACCGGAAATATAAATCAAAACTACGAGAAACAAGCGAGGAGACAAATGGAGGCTGTGTTAACACTGAGGACAGCTGATGCAGAAGAGTATTTAACATTATCCCTCCTCAAGGTGGAGAGGCAGACTCAACCTTAAGGCAATGCATAGCCCTTTGGAAACATTGGCACATGCATGGAGAGTGCAGACATGTCTGCATGTGTACTGTGTGTGCATGTACGAGTGTGTGTATGTGTTTGAATTTAACAATATGCAGGAAGAAAATAAGAATTGTGTAGATTGGGGTCAGACCGATAAAGCGATTTATATTAGAAGGTTCTTAAAAGACAGTTAAATTGTAGCTCAGGTGTTGATGGAGATTCAGGCTACAAAACCTGCAACTAAACTTCCTTTGAGAACATATTTGGTATTACGTTTCATCTGGAAATATAGTTATAGGCTTTCAAAAACCCTCTCAAGAAAGCTGAATTTAAATGCTGAAGCGAAAGAAAATAGGGGAAACAATAAGAGACAGGAAGAGAGTGCAAGCGGCAGAAAAAAAAGACACAGTGAGCTCCCGCCACAGTTGGAGGATCAGCGGCGGATCTGAGCGACGGGCACGATTGAACACCGCCTTGAGTGCTGATCATTATACTTCTATAAAACGATCGCATCAGATGTTGGTGAGCGCGGTCGCGGTGATGAGGCGCACAGTGAGCGTGCCCGGTAGGTCGTTGTCCTGGCGGCTGCCCTTGTCACGGAGGTGAAGCGTGTGCTGCTCCTGGCGCTCGTTGGGGTCGCTGAACAGGATCACCTGACCCAGGAAGGTGTCCACGATCATGTTCTTGTTGTAGATCTGTTGGCCGCTCGTGGGAGGAAGGAGGAGATCCGAAAGCGAAAAAGAGGGGAAGCAGGAAAAGAGAGGACAGAAAAGACAAAAGGCAATAAGCAGTCACGAAAGAGAATATACACAAGGGTCATAAATCAAAACTCGATAGAAGGTAGAAGAAGCACAGAGACGAAGAATAAACAAGTGCCTGTATACAGGAGTTTCTAAGTCGTAAAATCGTACTTACACAGCACTCCTCAAAGATAATTAACTTATATAGCACAATTTTCTTTGATTTACAAAGTATAAAAAAATCTAGAAATAGATAAGTGCAGAACAATAAGTGGAGAAAAAGGAAACAAAAAAGAAGAGTTGAGTCTGAACTTTGAAGTGTTTAAGATTACATCGTGGGGTTGCAACGATCCGTCAGCTGGTGCAAATATCAACCTTTTTAAGTAGATCGATGATCAGCCAAAAGCCACCAATCCACACTGAATGTGTTCTCTTCGGGAGTAACGGAATACATGGAACGGCTGATTTAATTTGGAACAAAAAAAAAAAAGGTAGCATGGTATACCGATACGAGAAAGGTATCGCAATCCAATTAATTATGTACTTAACAAAACAGCATATATTCCCACGTTCGCTCCGCCTGAGGCGGTTGGATCAGTGCATCCCTTGTACTGGCCCAGCTTGTCTACAGAGCAGCAGATGCACATTTCTGCCTCCGTTTACCGAGATACAAGTGATGCAATTTCACAGGTCTGATTGAGGAAATGCAACATTGTATCACCAACAATAATTCCCTAACAAGCACGCTGGCTTTCACATATCTCCTGATATTGAGCCTGTAATTGATTGGTAATGGATGTTCAGCTAAATTCCTTAGCAGATCAAACAACACACAAACTGTGGTGGAAGTTCTCCAGGTGTAGGAGGGTTAAAGTGTTGGTTCACCCAGTCTCAGACTGCCACCATATACAGGACCTGAGCTGCTACATTTTGGTTGTAGCCCTTATGAACATGTGCGTCAGTGTACGGTCCCACAGTGGGATGGCTGCAGAGAGTGACAGCTCACCTCGATGTGGATGCCCTCCTTGGGTTTCTTGCGGTAGAACAGGCCTTTGATGTCAAAGTTCGGGCACCGTGTGTCCTTATGAACTGGTGAACGAACCCTCTCTCCTTCACAGGTGATGATCACGTACGGATCTACAGCTGAAAATGGGGAAAAGTCAAAACAGTTCTTCCACACCTTGAAGTCTCTGTGACGGGTGACAGTCTTTGGTTCTTTCTTATAAACTAATTTACCAATTATTTTCTCGACTGGTTGCTTCATGATTTGCTCTATAAAAAGGAGAAATATTTCTACATGTTGCTTTTTTTTTCATGATTGCATTGTACTTTTACTTAAGTAAAGGATTTGAGTACTTCTTCCACCACTTCTGCTCTGTCAGCAGATAAATCTAAAGCCACTATGTGAAGGATATAAGAATTTTGGACTTTGGTGCCATCCAGTGGACACAGTGGCAGTCACTGGGGGGATCCGACCCGGAGATACAGAATGAAATGGTTGACAACACCGTATGTACTGCATCCAATTGTACCAGGAATGTCTCATTTTTAAGTTATTTTATTTGAAAAAAAATACATAAATACATACATTACAGGTATGTGCACACACTAGAAGAGCTTCAAGGGGGTAAGGACCCTATACTACAGGCTAATCATAGGAGCTACAGTTTCAGCAGATGGTGCTGTAGTACCTTGTACTTTGCTCAGAAGTCTCTCCTTATTGGGATTGAGGCAGTGAAGCTCTGTGGGTGTTTACAGGAGTTTACAACACAGGAATATGATCGTCAATGTGCGAATACGATGCGATGTGAGTACGTAGTGGTCCTACCTCCGTTGGATTCCTGTCCCTGCAGGCCTTCAGCATTCATTACATGGACCTGAGTGACCAGCTGAGGGTAGCCACACATCCCCGTCCAACATGTCTGAGGAGGGTCGTCCAGAGTCAGCTCTCTGGGAAAGAAAGAGTGTACGCTATAAAACTGTCGAAGCCAACTGGACTCAGGCGTCTGTGATGTCGGCAAATTAACTAAAAAACACTTCATGTTACAACTTTTTTGCCGCTTGATACGAAAGGGAACGTCCACGATTCTCATTTGCGATGATTAATCCAGTGTTTCCCATTAATTATCTACAGACTACGTACATATTAAACTGTGCATATTTTTACAGGTGTCTCATTTTCATGCTTTGTGGTTCTATCTTTTTTGTTAATTATTTAATTGTTTACTAGAGCACAAATTGTTTACCTAGCCTCTTAATTTTGCTCTCAAAGTGCACCAGACTGATGTATTTAACTTTAAAATGTACAAAATTTACTTCAGATCGCAGAAAAATATACATCACAATGTCAGTTATTTCCAATATTGTGCAGCTCACACCACTCAACACGACGTTGCTTAACTTCAGTCACATACGTAGTGTACAAATCCACAGCTTGTGAATCTATCGAGACGTAGTTTAGCTTCAAAGTAGGTTCAGGACATTCAAAAAGTTACACTATGTGTTCAGTGGGAATATATCAGATTTACTTGCAGTCTGAAGGCACATCAGTGAAGACGCGGAGCAGGAAGTCGCCCTGCTGCCCGGGGTCAAAGGTTGTGGGAATTATGACGTAACGGCCCTCCTGCAGCTCCTTCCTGAGGAAGACGCAGCGCGAGTTGATGTAGATGGAGCCCGCTACTTTCTGCTGGGCTGAGTGCATACGGTACTTACGATTTAGCTCCACCTGCAGGATGAGAGGACAGTATAGCAGAAATTCGTTCATGTGAGCTATTCATTAGTCTATCAACTCTTCAGGTTTGTGGAGGCTTCTCGGTATTTGTGCACGTGTGTTTCTACCCGGTGAATATCAAAGCCTATGGCGAGGTTTTCCCCTTTGCCCTCTTTGGGTGTGGCTCTCTTCTCCTTCTGCTGTAAGCAGATCAGCACCTCGTCCTCCACTTTCTTCACATCGAACACATACTGGGGAAAGAGAGAGCGACACCATAGTACTCTCCAACACTGGTCACACATCTCTCTATAACACAAGACAAACACGACCTCCACTAACCTGAGGGTTCTGCAGGAAAGTGGCCTTGTGATTGATGCAGCCTCCTGACCGGTTGCGAAGGGGGTCCTGGCGGTGGACCCAGGAGCCCCTCATCACTTCCTCCTCCCAGGTTTTGTGGATGCTCAGGTAGGAGGTGTTGATGAGGCGGCACAGGATGATGTCAGTGAAGTACTGGCAGAAGTCATCGAACGTCATCCTGTAGGAGGGCAGGAAAAGGAGAGGAGAGAAGAGACCGGAGAGAGTGGATACCAACTAGAGAAAAAAGCTTGAAAGAAGAAGACCTTTAACAGGTACAAAAATAGAGGAAATGAAATGAAATCAGGAACAAAGAAAAGGGTTACGTGTTAAAGGGAAACTGGGATTTGTGGCGCTGACAAGGAATGAGATTAAATGTTGACCGGTATGGGCTTTTGAAAAACAGCAGCATAGCATTTATTGACACATCAGTTGAGGAGTGTAGTTTATAACTTGCTGCTTCAATGCCACATGATATTTGCTGCAGTGACAATGCTGCGGCCATTGAAACGTTTACAATTCCTGAAAGCAGCCTCTCACACTCTACATCAATACATATTATAATTTATAAAGCAACAGCCAACAGGGACTAGTAGAGGAGGAGGGAAAAGTTCAGGCAGGTTGGAGAGCTTAATTCATTTGGGTGGATGGTGTATGGATGATTTATGCGTACACACAAATTTAAATAAGTTTAAACGATGCCTGCATCACTTCAATAAATGGTTCTAAGATAAGGGTACAACAGAAATTGTTAGTAGATTTTTGGTTCTCACCAGAACTCGCCGTCGTCCTGCACGGTGACGCCAAGCTTCTCTCTCTCACTCTTGCTCACCTTGTTCCACTCCTCCGAACTGCAGTGAGACACGAGAGCAAACACACGCGAGGCAGAAGAACAGCATCAAACTCACAAGCTCACGAGAAAACAAACTGTGACTCTTTATATTAAGATAGTTGTTATAAGCGTTAGTAAATAGATAATAAGGCCTTTATAAGTCCTTATAAGATGCTCTTTAACATTAGTGTGTGTTAAAAATAGCACCATGAACACATTTATTGTTATAAAACATTGATAAGCTCTTATAAGAAACTTGTTAACAGTTCATAGACAGATTAAACACATAAAACAACCTTATGAGTTTCTTATAATATTTTTACAAACACATTTATTGAGTTTAAGACCTTAATAAGGCGCTGTTGTCACTTTACAGCCGGTAACAGCAAAAAGCATCGTTAACTGCTAATGAATGCTATCATAAACAATTATAAAAATAGGGCTGTTAAGCAGTCTATAAACTGTTAACAAGTTCTGATAAGTGCTTATAAATGTCTTACAATCTAACAATAAATGTGTTTATGATGCCATTGTTAACACTTATCTAGTCTTATTAACGTATAATAAAGGTAATAGCATCTTATAAGCACTTTATACAGCCTTGATACCTATTAACTAACGCTCATTACAAGGACCTTAATATAAAGTGTTACCCGATATTAATATATTTGAGTAGTGGGACATTCACCTGTGAATATTTTAATATTCATAATGATTGTGAAAATGCTCAGTTACTGTATCAAGCTCAGATGTATAAATGATGTATGATTCTACCCCTCAAGGGCACGATTATGTTAAAGAGTCCGTTGAATGTGTGCATTCGTGAGTGTGAATCATACCTAAACATCAAGGTCCATTTTGTATTCACTGCTGAGCGAAAACACAGGCTTTTCACTGGATGCATTAGGTCTGTGTTTATGTCTCTGTTTATGATTCACTGACAAGCGTCCACGTCTCAACAGTCTGTCAAACTCCATTTACAGTAACAGATTTCCTTTTTTATTTTTTTATCAAACCATGAATAAATTATTCAGCGAGAGCGAGCGAGTGATTGAGAAAGAAGAGAGATGACTCACGTCTCTTTAATAACATCTTTCTCTCTTTTCGGCCTCATCAATAATTCAGGCTCCATTATGATCCGGCTTTACCACCTCCCTGTTTGTTTCACAGAGGCTAGACAGAGACGGAGAGATGTTGAAGGAGCAACTTCTCTGCATCTCAGCATTACCTGTTGCCCTAAGAAGTGTAGGCACAATGCAGCAAGTAAAACTGGAATGAAACACTCTTTTCTAGGGAGAAATGACAGCTTGTCCACCTGACTGAATGGCCATTTGATTCACCTACACGTTAGAGTTTCAGGTTTAGTCAGCAAAATGTCTGTTCTGGGAGGGTCCTGGGAAAATGCTATCTGAGCTGCACTGCACTGTTTGATTTTATTCAGAAGAGAACTATTCAGTCATTCATCTTATTTCTGTGACCCATTACCTTGATTGCATCTCCATTTTTCATTGTCTACACGACATTTTCCCATCATGCAGCCTTCTTGGTTACGTTGTGGGCAGTTTTTACGAGTTTGGTCTTTGTTCAGCACATTAGTTGTTTGCTCATTCATCACCGGCAATGTCTCAGAGACCAGTGTGTCAAATTTGAGAGACAAAGGAGACAAGAGCACTTTGACATTTTCAAAATGTACTTTGTGAAATTGGTTAAATTGGTAAAGGTCGTAACACGGTCAAGTAAGGACGAATAGACTGACTATGTTTACATGCACACTTAAGTTCCACAATTAAACTAAAAAGCATATTCTTTTTGGATATCATTCCGAATGTAGCATTTTCCGTTTAGGATATGTGGGATATGTCGGCATTATTCTGGTTCTAGGAGCATTCTTTGGACATGTATACAACACATTCGGTATACGCGCCTCACTTGTGTTATTTTTTTGACCATTTGCGCCACGCAGCCTTTTGCCTTTTTACGGTCAGCTCTGTGCGTTGCACACAATGCATCGGTCCGTAAAAAAGAAAATCTCGAAGAGCACAATTTTGCAAAACTTGCAGGACGATGACAACAAGAGTACGTGATTCGATATGGGAGCAACATGACTGGAAGTGGAGGGAAATTTAACTTATTTAAAGGACGTACCCATAGGGCGTATGTCATGGGGCAATTTTACGTTAATGGGAGTATGCACGGCTGCATGTTAAAGTGAATATTAGTGGAATATCAATTTTCATTCGCCGTGTAAACAGCTTAGCAGGATTATGGTCTTTTTTGGAAATGTCTGACTTACCGAGATCACTGCGCAAAATTGGGACAGATAGATGAAGAAGGCCAAACGAGACAAGATGAGATGTGACGAGCTGCAGTAGTTCATCCATGCCTGTAAGGGGCAGTGTGGGGATTTACCTGTCGCTCCAGGGGCCGCTCCACTCCTTTTCTCCCCAGGGGTTCCTCATGCGGATCATTTGTAGCTTTTCCGATTTGAAGAAGGCCAGCAGTCCGTGACCGAGCCTCACTTTCCGCACGTCCGTCACGGCGTAGGCGTGACCTTTGACCAGGCCACAGTCCAGCCGTGCCTCCATGTCCTCGATCGTGGTCGCCTGGGAAACAGGAAAACGGGGTAGCTTTAGTGGTTGGAAACAGATGATTTTGTGGATCTCTATAAATATGTAAAAGAGGGAAGCTGGCACAGTTTCCTGAGAAAATTACAAACAGGTAGGTGTTCGGTAAAAGGCACACAGGGACGATGTTGCTGTTTTCAGTGGAAGCTGCACAATAAGCTCGGCTTTTGTGTTTGTCGGGGAACCGAAAACAGAGATTTCTGTTCCTTTATTACAAACAGTAGAGACACGATAGGAAACCGAAGAGCAAGATGCAACAAAGGTCCCCGGCAGGACTGAAGCCGAGGACCTTCGCAGCATTTTAACTCCTAAGCCGTGGAGGTGCACCATAACTGCTGATAATGTACAGATGTTAGATTAAACTTTATCAGATATTACAGTTTTATTGTAATGCGGGTCGTATTTTTGTCGTTTTAGCCATTCTTTCTATCAATTATGATAACACTGTATACACACAAGCAGTTGCTGAGATCTAGGGACACGGCATAAGGAAGTGAAGCAGTAAGATGATTCGACATGTTGTAACAAACCAACAGTTTAACCAGATTATCATAACCACTTTATTTGGATTTAAAACCACCTGAAATGTGCTAATCCCTTATTGCAGGAGAACTGTTTCTGTGCACTACTGCAAGTGTAGGTGTGACGAGCGTTTACAAGGGACAATTTGGGTTTCAGTTTCTTTCACAAAATGCTGCAACACCCAATTAATCAAAATAATGATCGACTGATTAGTCGACTGCAGGCCAAGACATTACTCTGGAAATATTATCTATTATCTTTGCAACAGCTGAGCCCCTAATTGAAATGAGAACCAGTTGAAACGAGAGATCGGACAAATAGTTGTTATACTTTATAGCGTTCTGAATCACTGGTTTGTCCAAATAGAAGCTGTGAGAAGGAATACTGATCTCCAGTTTGAGAATAACTTCAGAACAGAACTCAGAGTCCTCTATCCACAAATCAGCACCCCCCAGTAGCCTCAACACATGGTCTCCCAGAGGATAGGCGTAGACACACACAATACATAAACAATTTATAAGTGAGAAAAACAAGCTAAAGTAATAACAACAAAGGGTATAGGTGGAAAATGCATTGTTGTATAGTACTGCTTATATTCTCTGAGCTCGCATTACTCCTGCAGTCGAACAACAGAATCTCCGGTATTGAAACTCATGCATATAAAAGAGCCATATGATTTAAAAATGGAACTGCGTGTGATTCTGAATCACAATAAGGGTTTGTGAATTAGTTGTCGCTGGAGCAACATGCAGACACTCTGCAGGCAAGTCAAGAATGTATTTGCCTTAAATCCCTTAAGCATTAATTATTAAGATTACTGAGACTTGAATATTGTTCTACAAAACAGTTCTCGATACATTAAAGTGAACTTTGTATTTTCTTTACTGAAACAGAGACCTTCATGCTGACAGCTCCTAGTTCTCAAAAACAATCAATATGGGTCATTTTCAGAGATGAGCTGCTTGGCTTTAGTTTCTAGAGAATGTCATCCTCTTGGACCCTTTTTCAACAAGTATCCTTCCATAAAGACATGTGCTACCCTGTGAGAAGTACCTTTTGAAGGAAAAAAAGCCGGCACAATATCATCATAATGGACAATTCAGAAGAGCTATTCATTTGTGTGCACCTCACGTAATCTCAAACAAATTACTACACAGCTTTGAAGAGCCTTTGAAAAGTTGCAGAAAGAATTTATGCAGAGATTTGGCACTAAAGAAGGCTGCTACTGCCGCGAGACAAAGTCAACACACAGACAGCGTTTCATCCTTGGATTTTAAAATCACAGCAGAAAATGCTTTAATTATTAAAGAGCTCTGGGGCTCAAGGGGTCAGCTTTTGTGGTGGATCAGACCGTTTTCAGAGAACAGGTGCTGAAATGCTGCTAAAAATGCCAAGTGTGAACTTCCTTATGTTTTTTTTCTTTGAATGTTTGAGACAGACATTAATGAATATTCATCGAGCGTCGTCATCAGATCAAAGTTTCTACTTATTCGATACTTTGGTTTGCGACTAAACAGCTGCAAAACTAATGACGTTCCCATCAGCTCCAGCTTTGTGTTTGTGAGCTAAATATTAGCATTCAGCTCAGAGCACTACTGAAGAAAGCCCCAAGTAGACTCAGTTTTGAGCGTACTCAAAAAGCACAAAGCGTAATGCTTTGGCCAATGTGTTTGTCCCATACATGTGGCTGAGCCGAGCCTTAGACAACAATAAATACCTGCAAATAAAAAATCCGATCTGAACACTGCCAAAGTCTTACTACAAAATGACTGAAGATCTTCATGTGTACAAACACATTTTTAAAGAATGAAAAAAACACAAATTTTAACCTCAAGACTCATGGATGATTAAAAAAAGGAGGTGACTGCCATGCAGCTCCTAGCTCACCCTGATGGAGCAGCTGATGAGACCGTCTCTGTTGTGGACTTTGAGAACTCTTTCAAACAGCTGGTTTCGGGCCACCTCATCTGTTGCCATCTGACCCTCCAGCAGGTCCACGGGCTCTGAAACACCACCCGTGAAATCCACCAGCGCGTCGGCCGTGTTGCCTCCGTCCAAAGCCTCATAGCAGCCATAAACCCTGAACAGGAAGAGGCGGAGAGCCGGGTAACGGTTATTAGAGCCGATTAATCGATTGTGAAAAATAAATAAATCAACAATTATTTTGATAAACAATTAATTGTTTAAGTCATTTGCTGTTTTTCAAAGTCTATCCTTAGGTAGGCAGAAGTTTAAAATGATTAATTCCAATAATGAGTTTTTAGGCGTCTCTAAAGCTGGATCTGTATATTTGTTGCCACTGATACTAACTTGGCATAGGCCTTCTCCACCATGGCACTCCAGAACTCGTTGCTGTCGTTGGAGTGGCAGTAGACCAGCTGGTTGTCCACCGTCGGTAGCCGGTCGTCAATCACCACATCCACCCACTCACCGAAGCGCCAGAAGCGGAAGTGGAAAATCCCGGCATATGAATCTGGCTTCTCCGTATCCCACTCCTGCTCCTTCCAGTCGGGAATGACCTGGAGGGTGGCAAAGGGGGAGGAAGGGGATGGAGGAAGGGGATGGAGGAAGAAGAGCAGAGCGCAGGTAAGCCAAACAAACCGGTGGGCCATGAAGCATAAATAATATCAAGGTGGAGTGGGCTGCCAGACTGAGACAGCGTACCCTCATGTCTGCTGATGCATTTAGGATTAGGGGACAGATTTATCAAGTTGGTTCTCTCAGTCATAAATCCAGCTGTAATAGGACTTGGGTGAGAGGTAATAACTGCAGTGTGTGTGTGTGTGTGTGTGTGTGTGTGTGTGTGTGTGTGTGTGTGTTTCAGTTGCCTGCGTTTATTGTGGTCCAGTGAAACCTCTATAACCCAGCCTCCATTTTGACGAGAGGTACACAACAAACAATATATCCACATAAAATCCTAAAACATAAAGAGGTAACAGAAATGGAAAGATTAAAAAAAAGCAAAATACAGAGCAGTACAAAGCATACTGTGCAGACAAATAGAGACTATATGGCTCAACACATGACAATACTGATTTATCTTTGTTTGGAAATCAGTGAGACAAATTTAAAATCTCCGATTAAAAGGGATTAGGTTTGTATTCCAGTCATGTAATGATAATCTCTGTTATCTAAAGAAAGTGTCGAGGTGTGACAGCTATGCTATCTTAACTGGATAGCACACATCAAGGTTAAATGTCACCTTTTCCAGTTAAAATAAAGAATGTCTACTCTAGTTGTGACAGGTTACAGGCTTCTTTATTCTCATAACCGCCGTCACTCCAGCCCTGCTATGTGATTGGTCCAAATGTGTTTAGACTGTAGGACTTTAAAGGAACAGTGTGTAACATTTAGGGGGATTAACTGGCAGATATTGAATACAATATTCATAACTATGTTTTAATCAGTTTATAATCACCTGAAACTAATTATCGTTGGTTTCTTTAGCTTAGAAAAAGCTATTTATAAGTACTTTTTAATGTCTTGGTGTCATTAATTATCACGTTGCAACTCGCATCTGCTCTGCTCTCTCTCGCCAACTACACACACACTTTATTAAGCTCCTTTTGTTGTTGCTATCGCAGCCAAAAGGTAGTGCACAGTGGGTTCATCAGAGCTTTTTTTCTTTTTCAGCTGCCTGTTGCTGCTGGAAACACACAGAGTATTTTTACTGCATTACGTCGTGTTGTGATTGCTGATGTGATTGTTGCTTTCCCATGTTCCCACTGTGACTCCGTGTCGTAACAGAACTCCCAAACTACGGGGGACCTGCAAAAAGGGCACCTGTGAAACCTCTACCAGTGCGAATATGGCCTGCAATAAAAAAAAAAACGCCAAATGATGCAGTGAGCGACACCACGTGTGAAGTAAGTGACAGTGTTCCAGCGGGTGTGCTTGGAGATGTCAAGGTGCGCTAACTGAACAGCAGTTCCTGTCAAACCTCTCTACAGGAGGGGACACTTTGCTGATGGAGAGAATCTGGCCTCTCTGGAGGGCCGGCTTGGTGAAGCAGCAACAGCTCCTTTAAAAAGAGGAGGGAGGGGGGGAACAAAGCACTGCACCACAGAAACCTCAGAGTCATTTTGTAATCCTTCGGGAGGCAGTCTCTCTTGCACCCCACCTCGCTACTGCTTATACTCTCTGACACTGCACTGTGGATAGTGAGAGAGCGAAGGCTCCATCTATCTCAGCTCACATCTGGGCCAAGTGTCGCGCTGCAGCAACTGCACTCTGGTAGGTAAGTGACCTGACGACTGACCGGAAACACAAGCAGAAGGCACCTTGGCTTCCCCTGCTGTCTGTCGATAGGCACACCACGGGGAATTCCTTCCTCCTTCCCTTCACCTGATAAGAGTCCAGCGCCAACATAAAAGGGGCAACCTTACTCTTACAAAACAGTTTTGATGTTCACATTTACATTGCCGCTCATGCAAGCCTCTAGGAGTTTGGTAATACAGCACTTCAGGTCAGGTATTAAAGACCTGTAGCCAAGTAAAAACACAAGACACAGTTCCCTGGGGGCAATCCCTGTGCTGGGGTTGCAAATGTCATTAGATCTTGTTGCCTAGTACCTCTGCTAATCTGTACTTCTGTGTAAGACCCGCCCTATCCTATCGATGTTACAAGGACATGAACACATGTATAAGAGCAACTGTAAAGAAGGAGGAGGACAGACAAAGGGAAGAGGCTTAGTTTCGACATAGCTGCCAATCTAATCCAGCCTTGCAGTTGGTATCGACCTCTGAGCCTCTTGGTGTGCCGTCCAAGCATGTCTACAGAGTTGGAGCTGCCCTTCCGGCCGGACACCGATCTGACGGAGGTGATGCGCCTGCGGGTTCAGTCTCTGCAGCAGCGAGGCCAGAAGAGGCCGGACGGCGAACGCCTGCTGCAGCCCAACGAGGCCGTGTACCGACTGGACTTCACCAAACAGTCCCTCGGATTCTCGCGGTGGATGGTGAGGCTGCCCCAGACGGGACGCCTCACCGTCACGGCCACCTCGCAGCTCTGGACCCCCGACCTCACCAACCTGATGACGCGGCAGCTGCTGGAGCCCGTTGGGATTTTCTGGAGGGCCCCAGGTGATGCCAGCGACGCGCCCACCCAGTGCTACGAGGCTGACGCGCACGAGTTTGGCGAGCGGATCGCCGAGTTGGCTACGGTAAGGAAGACAATGTACTTCCTGTTTGCGTTTGCAGACGGCTGCAGCCCTCAGACTGTCGACTGCTCCATCACCTTCACGGTGGATTGTTGAGACTTCAAACTAAAAACTCTTCTTCTGTGCATTGAGGATGCAAAGTTACTTTTAGGTTAGACCTGCATTTTTATTGTCTAAAACCGTCTGGAATTAGCATAAGAGAAAGCCTTCAATATCACATCATCAGACAACCTGTAAGGAAAAGACTACAGTCTTTGTCCTCCTCCTCCTTTTGCAACACATCTCATTTACATAAAACTTGCTTCTGTTACTGAACCTATTGACCTTTGTATCCTTGTATCCTATGATGTTAAATATAGCTAAATACAAATAAATCCAATAAATCACAAAGGTGTATCTGCATTTTCTTAACTAACGCCTGAACACGATCATTTTCTGGGCTTGTGTGTGTGTGTGTGCAAAGAATGTTATTCACCCTCTCCTCCTCATTGACAAACAGCCAGCCCTGACGGGTTTGGTAGAAATGAGTCCCTTGTGAGATAATGGATAGAGACAAGTGTGTTCTTGTGTGTGTGTGTGTGTGTGTGTGTGTGTGCTTGAGTATATTCCCCAGTGGACGGGGGAAGAGGTTCCTGTTGCCTCATCCGTCTCTGTTTTGCATGGTGACCCTGACAAACAAGAGAGAGGGGAGGCATGTGGATTTCCTCTCTCAGCCTCCATGCTTTGCTGTGCGACGGACGGAGGAAACACTAACTGTGACTGTGAATGAGAAGCCGCGTGTCAGATGAGGTGTGAGAGAAAAGAAAATAACCGAGATGTCAGATGGTATTAGACTCATTTGTCGTTGGTAGGAGGCATGTAACTAACTTGCCACCTGAACCGTCAAACCATTCTCTGATTCTAACACCAACAAAAAAGTCTAACTTTGCACATTCTTAGGAGTCTCAATTAAATCAATCTCGCCTACAGACTTGAATGCATAAATAGAAATTATCATTGAGTGACCTCATTGGTATGTGTCCTTTTGTCACAATTTGACAGGCAAGAATTAGCCTTAACAAATGGACTACCTTTAAGGGAAATTATCTTATTGTTAAATGATGATAAACAAATATATACGTTAACATTTAAACATATACTGCCTTGAGTAATTACAAGGATCCAAGAAAGGCAAAAATCAGAAGTCACAACAGCTCTAGAGCCAAACGAGAGGCGCTTTTTGCAGGTAATTAACACAAAAAGCAATACAAAATAACAATGTTTTGAAGTAGAAGCACTCGGGTCTCACTGGGGAACACCATGTGCTCCTGTGAGAGTTGGACCATTACTTGTTTTGCTTTCATAGGAAATACTGCTGGTGGCCAACAACACGGGAGGCTGTGAACAGATGAATATCTCTGCACAAAGGCTGTTTCACCAAACAGACTTCCACTATGGTTCCTCAGCTGTGGTCATATTTCAAACAACAAACAACCAGCATAGAGAGGGGGACTGAAGATACAGACCTGGGGGCCAGATCCGGCCTGCAGGACAATTACATAATTACATCCCTCAACAGTCTTTTCAATTTAGAATAATCATTTCATTTTGTTAAAGTAAGCAGCAATTATTTCACATTTTTTTAAAGCGGTTTGACATTTTGGGAGATAATCTTATTTGCTTTCTGGTGGAGAGTTAGGTGGAGGTTTCCATGGTGGAGAGGAGGTCAATATCCTTCATTATCTATATATCTCTATATCTATAATTTTGTCATCCTGATTATACACTCTAATTCTATTATGTTGGTCTATTCTTTACCCACAACATCTATTGCAAGTCTGTCTGTTCAGCATGAGGGATCTGTCCTCTGTTGCTCTTCCTGAGGTTTCTTCCATATTTTCCCCTGTTAAAAGGTTTTGTGGGGAGTTTTGCCTCAAATGAATCGAGGGTCGAAGGACAGAAGGTGTCGTATTCTATTACAGCTTGTAAAGCACCTTCAGGCAAATTTGTGATATTGAGCTGTATGAATAAAATTGACTTGACAGTCTCAAGCGGCATTGCTCTGGGCAAGAAAGCAAACGAAAAGGAATGCATCTCCCCTCCAAAAAAAACTAAAAGAAAATGTTGAAAAAATGGGAAATTAAGCAGTAAACATGCTGCTCATTGGATATGGAGTTAGACGATGATTGTGTGTGTTTGGACGATGAAAAACAGAGTAAACAGCGGGGACGATACTGTGTAAGCAAGCCCATATGTACACACTCTCTCTGAGCAGACCGTCACAATCCAGCGTCTCGCTACAACAGGCCGAGGCATCTTGTTTCAAATCCCATTAAACCTCTGTAATCACTTTGTTTCCTCTGTCAAGATGGATGCCAAAGATCATCTCAGAACATTCCTGACAACTGAAACTCCAGGGCTCAATACAGTTCAAAGACGTTTTTTTTGTTAATATGACACCTCCAGTTTTAGACGGAAGCTTGCAATGGTGGATTTATGGTGCCAATCTTCATGGAAAAGTTTACACATTTATTGTAATCAGTGTGTAAAAGGTTGCGACAGTGGCTTCACAGTTAATGAACATACATTAGAATGATCTCGATCTTCTCAGATCAAACTTGAAAACCCCTGAACGAGATAAACAACGGAATAAAGTTATCCTTTTGTGAACAATGTTAAGTCACAAGGTAAGTACACTTGGCAAGCAATAGGATGTAGTCTACATCTCGGCTTTGATTTTGTTGGTTGGAGTACAGATTTTTACAGATTAGAGTTATTCTAGTCACATTACTAAGGTATTCAGCTCGGTAAGGAGCCATTTCTTAGATCTGCCGAGTGACCTGAATCCATGGAAAGTAATTATTAGCTGGCTAGCTGCCTATAAAACACATTCACTACCAGAATGCCAGGATATCAATCCAGCCCTAGTGCTTTTAGCCTGTCCTGAGAGAATCTACTTTAAGAGTCCACCAATCAGGCTTCTACTGACTGATGGGGTCTGCTGAGACCAAGGAGGCGTTGTGGTGATGTAATGAGTCCTCTGGTGTTTACTTCTTATCATAATGGTCCTTAATGGACACTCAAACACTAAATATGGAATAATTAGAATTGAGTACATATAAATCTCCTTTTTTCAAAACGCATTATATGCACTTTTGTGCAAGAAGGAATCAGGAGCTTTCGCCCATGCAGTGTGGTTTTCTTCTACTTAAAGCAAACAACAACTGGCGGTCACCAGAAGAGCAAAAAGCAAAGCACAAAATAGTGCAAGTTTGAACTTTTATAATTTGTATTATGAGCATTATGAGACATAATACGAGCATGTATGCCATGTCTCAGCTGCAGTTAGGAAAAGTTCAACATTTTTGAAAGATCTAGATGTGAAGATTTATACCAGTTTCAAGTTATTTCTAGCTTAGCATAAAGACTTATCTTTGTATACAGATTAAACAAACAAGTTACATGTTGATTGGTGAGTTTTAGAAGTGCTGGGAGGCATGTCTTTTCACTTTGGAGAGAGCCAGGCAAGTGGTGTCCACGTTGCCAGTGTTAATGCTAAGCTAGGCTAACGATGCCCTCAGTCACCAGCTCAGTTACTTAACACACAGAAGACATGATATTGTTATGATATTGAAAATGTTATCATCACAGATGAGGTGAGGCAATCCAAAGACACACCTGTATGAGATTCACTAAGCATTTTGGTCTGGTTTTAAAAAATAAAAACAAGGCAAAGAAAGAAGAAGAAATAGAGGTACACGTACAAAAAAAACACACTTACTTTTTGCCATAGAGACTCTCTGGAGGCCAGACTGGAGCATGCCGCTACAAACCAGCAGTTACCCAGCTGTCCCTGATGCAAGTCGTGTGCACTGATGCCATCCACAAACAGGTGAGGGTCCTCACACAGCTCCTACACTCCCAAAGACAGACACATAATAGTTAAGTGTGTGTGTACAAGACATAGAGGAGCTTAAATGGGTTATTGAGGCAAATGAGAGAATCAGAAAAAGACCATCTGTCCCGATGCACCCACCTATCGTATTCATGATCTTCTGCCCAAGTGTGGGAGGGCTGCATGCATTTATGAAATCACATTTCCTGTGGCTGCAGCGGTGTGGTCCATTTTCCGCCACAATGTGTACAGACGGACCTCTATTATAGCTAACAACATGGTGCTCAATGAGCTGCTCTCTCTGTGCAGGACTAACACACCTATCCACATCCACACACACACACACACACACACACACACACACACACACACACACACACACACACACACACACACAATCAGACATCCTGTGGTTCCTGTGATAATGTGTGGGATGAATACTACAGGCTGCGAGCCGACACTAGCCATTTACAGAGAGACACCCTGTCCTCTAGTCTTTTGTCTGCACACAATAGCTACACTTCAGCTTAAATGTCACACATGAGGGGAGATTTGCCAAAAACTGAGAATTATTTGCAATGCTTTAAAATGGACTAAATAGCTAAAAAAAGATACAGTACAATCGATATAAAGTACATTGAATTTGTGTTCAGGGTTAGGGTTAGTATGTACAGTATTCCCTTGGTGTTTGTTATTTAATCAAAATTGTAATTTCCAAAAATAAGACATTTTTATAAGAAATATAGATTCTTATAGAAATAAAAAGTTGTATATATGTTTCTGCAGCGACAGCGAGAGAAATATTAGTAGCCTAACAGAGCTGTGTATCGTAGTGCTGAAGGAGCAGACGGATTTGTAATTGCGACTTTTTCCTCGAGTCCCATCCTTCTGTTTGGTATTAGAAAATACAGAAGAAGAAGTGTCGTTGATGGGGCAGTTGGCTAGCAGCAGGTGAACAAAAGTAACTGGGTTCGGGAATTGATGTCGGTGCCTGTCAGTTCCCATAGCATAGCCAAACATCTGCAAGCTAAGCTAACTAGGATCCACTTTCAGGGTGAAATACAAACTGAACAGAACGATGGGTCTTCCCAAATGTTTAATATTGTAAAGGGACAGACTTCTTCAATCTCTGATGGTAGATAACCAGTGCTTTGTACCTGTTGAATGACATGGGGAATAAAAATCAGCAGGCTGTACAGAGCTATAATGTGCTTCAGACATTTGCACACCACAGAAGTTACCGGCTCTTTTTCTAGTTCTCTTTTACTCAGCCAACCGAGAGGCTTAGACGATGTTTGAACAACATGTCCAAAAATGTGTTTTGTTTACCAGCTCTCTTGAGTAACGGCAAAATATGGTTCAACATATTCATCTGTACTTCCATTTCATAGCATCTGACATTTATGTCATATATCATGGCCTATTGATTTAGCAAACTGCATCATATCAGTGACAGGCCAATATCTGATCTTTAAAAATAAAAGGTTAACACAAGCCCAGAATAAAATATAGAACAACTTAATACTTTACTACAGCCTGCAGATCTCTGCTGGCAGCATTCTGGGTGTGAACAGTCTGTTTCCGCTCCTCTGCTTTATGGGACCGGCGGGTCGATGGGCACCTCGGCCATTACTCAACAGACAACGGAAAGCACAGCACCACTTAACAGCTCTTTATCTTTACACACTTGCTGCACTCAACTAGGGTTAGAAAAGTAAAAGATGGACGCACATGAGCATTTACTCATGTGAAAGACACACAGTGAACATCTGCACTGGCACTACGTTAACAACTGCTGTGTTATTGGAAACTGATCCGGCCAATGGATGAGAGAGGTTATGAGTCATCTTCACTTAGGAAGAAAATCAGTTACAACATCCGAGGGTCCACCAGAAAATTCAATGCCACTTGACAACCATGTATGTCCTTTGTTGAAGGGATAACCCATGTGTATGCTTCTTTATTGTCCTTTACTTATTGGTTATCATTATCATTAAAATACTCATTTATTTACCAGCAACTGAAGATTTGGTTGAACAATTAACACCTACAGAATAATCTAAAGATTCATTGAGAATGATGATAATTACTTGTAGCGATGTTTAATAATGGATAAATGATCTACCTGAATATATTTACAGTGAAAAGCTATGAATATTCTGTATATGGACAACCCTGGAATAGACTCCACTTCAAAAACTATTTCAGAGACGTTTCCACCCACCAGAAGAAAAATCTTGAAAGAAAAAAACAACAAAATATTCCAAATTTTGGACGGAAAATATAAAGACCTTGAGATCTTGCGAGAACAAAGATGCAAATCATTTTCATTGATTTTTATGCCAAGTGTTGATGAATGGATTGACCTGGTGTACAATATTTATGTAATGGGGAGAATGACTTTCAACTTGAGAACCTGAAGGATACATTTGCTTAGAACTGGACAAAATGGATTGTTTACGTCTCAACCTTTGTACCAGATTTTGTGTAAATGTGCATCAGAAACGCATTCCAGTGTGCTCCATAATCCCCCACTCTCTATGCGTATATATATATATATATATACATATATATAATTTATATTAAAAAAAGAAAATTTAGAGATACTGATTACTGTAAGAGCGTCACAGTAGATCATTTGTTAGAAACCCACTGCAGCGATCGGCCAGCTGCAGCCTTACCACTGTGTGAAGTCTTTATATTGTTTTTCCTCTGAGAGCTCCGGTTTCCACCCACAGTCCAAACACATGCAGGTGAAGTGGAGAGTTGAGACATTTCTCATAGGCGTGAACATGAGTGTGAATGCCTTTGTCTGTATCTGTTAGCCCTGTGAAGGCTCAGCTGCCCCGTCCTGCTTTAACCATGAACATCAGAGCCACCCTTCAAAAATCATGTGTATGTGAAGAAATGCCGATCACAGCATAAACACACTATGTCGCATGTTCAAGTGTGGGAAACAAAAGCACACACGAAACAAACAAAAACACACACTCAAACACACACACACAGACACACACACACACACACACACACACACGCACACACACACACACACGCACACACACACAGAGGACACCAGAAAGGTCAGTAATTTGCTGACTCTGCAAAGCCACTTGCTGCAAAAGCAAACTTCTAATCAGAAGCAGAGGCCACTGCAGTGCTCCCTGGAGGCCTCCAGTCTCTACCGGCAGCCCCTCTCACCTTACAAAGACCAGCACTGAAGCACTTCCCGTCTGTGCGCGCAAGTCGGCACAACTATGCGGAGCAATGTTTGGACCTCTTGTCTGACCCGTGCCAGAGTTAAGATCTCTAATCACGTTTTTTCCCCTCCTGTCCGCAACAGCATTGATCGGTGGAGTTTGAGCAGCGGCGGGGGCTCCCTGTGGTGGCCCGCCGTCCAGGGATTGGCTCAGGTGGAAGAGTAATAGAGTATCGATCCCAGCCCGGCCCTGCAGACACTGGAGTAATGTGAATATTGTGGCTGAGCACAGCCTAATCATTTACCCAGCTACTGAGAACTCCTCAGCACCATCCATCAGCCTGTGTGAGGAACCATCAGCCACACAAGTAAACACACAACCAGCCACAAGCACAACACTCATATACAAGATAAAATGGTGACCAGCTCATCAAAATGGTATATTGAAGATACGATATTGAATACAATGAATATGATGTTGATAAATGTGGTGATTTTGCAAAGATTCTGGTTTGACCAGCTTTTAATTGTTTATGAAAACATTGCTGTCACCAAATTGCTGAGATCAGTTTCGCCAAATTATCTATAAAATCCCACTTCATCCATAAGTAAACCTGAAGATGAGAAAAACTACAGTAAGCACAGCAGCTCAAAGGTGAACTAGGAAGTAGGTCTGTACACACTGATGGATGTTTACAATGGCCTGCTTGGGTAAACGTTTAAAAGGTTTTCCCATGAAGCTGACTGTCAGAGAGTTCCAAGAGTACAACGTCAAAACTGACTGGGCAAGATCCAAGTTGTGATAAACTTTTAAATACCTCGACAACCATAATACTTCATCAGATTCATGAAACAAATCTAGTTAAACATTTATTTACAAGTCATTGGAATGCGCTCGGGCCCTTGTTACAAATTCCAATACCTAAATACGAGGTGTTTGCTGATCAGTAGTAATTATCTAATACCAGTGCTTAAAATCTAAATACCTAATTCCGTGGAACTCATGGGATCATTTTTATATTTTGTCTTAGAAGTAACACGAGGACAGGGATCGCTGTGGTACTAAAAACAGAGTCAACGGCCCACTGTAACTGAATTGAACTGATAACTAAATGTTATAATGATAACCTGATACATTCAGAAACATTAAATGGATAGTTCCCATGAGTATAGATGGTATAGAAAGCTCAGCTGAAACATTTTCCTTTGTCTCGCAGCATGTACCGTCATATCGCCCCACCCTCGTCTCGTCAAGCCATAAATAAACACAAATCAGTGGAAGACGGAAGAGACGGGGGGGGGGATGAGAAGGGCAGCAGGAGAAAGACAGACAGGCTGAGTGACAATGTGAGAGACAGAGAGGGGGAACATTTTATTAGAGACTGCTCTTTATGCTCGCACGCTCTGCCACCAGGACTTCATCGCAGCCATAAATATCACCGAGACACACCTGAGCAAGGATAACACCGAGCACAACAACCTCTGGAGGGGGGGGGGGGGCTGTGAACCTTCACCCTCCCACTGATAACACAACCTCTCTGATCCTCACATTCACAGCGTTGGAAAACGTGACTGTTACTGGTGGCGGGTGAATAAGAAAAAGCAGGGGGGGGGACTGTCTGGGTTTTATTAAATCAACTGAAAGAACATTTCAAGAAGACTAAAGAACATCGAGGTAAACTAACTTCATCAATCAAATTTGCATACATTTAAATATATTGCTGACAATTGACTTTGTCCATTAGTAAACTAACAAGTTGCGCTTCCATCTCAGGTTTATTAGCAGCCGTCCTGAGACCTCGTAACGTAACAGGAGTCCAACCGGCTGCGGTCACGGTGAAGACACGGGAGGCCGTGAAACAAGACCACGGACGTTTGTGCCATGATGTCAGTCTTGATTTCAGAACCGCCACACTCCTATCCCGAGTAAACATTATAACCAGAAGCTGGAGAGTTGTGATTAAATGGAGAGTTTGGGTGTTTTCGTTGTATGAGGCACTCGTCCATTGTAAGTGTATTACCTACAGTAGATGGCAGTCAGCATGCCCCAAGTTAAGGGAACTTTAGATGTCAAAACAAAGTAATTTGTTCTCTATTTTATGTGAGAATGGGAACTGAAGAAATTAAAATAAATCACTGCAATGTTTTTGCTGGTGGTTATTGAAAATTCAGAAGTGGTATGAGCTGTAAATGCCTCTTAGTGATGCTGAGAACCACGGAAATGATTTACCAGTTTGGATGATTCTGGGTTCTTTTCAGCGTCCACTCACTGCCGCTGACAGGCTTTTAAAGAGGAGAATATTTTCCAGAGTCTTTTGAAGCCGACACTGAAATTCATGTCTACAATTTGGATATTTATAGAGATCTATATCTATCTAACACTTAAGCGGAGCTAAAACATAAAACAACTCGTAAATATTAAGAGGCCCATCAATCACAGCATCACTGAAGCCCTTCAGGACAGTCGGTTCCCCACCAGTCCACTTAACATGTTTAGACTAAACACAACAGGGTGAAACAAAAACATATGAGCAACAACGGTTCAACTTTAATTTGTCACGCACAACATGTGCCAGGCGTCTGTTGTCTTCATGTCACCGGCCTCCGTTGACTTGTCACCTGTTGCTGTGTTGCTTGTACAGTGAACACACAGTATCGCCTACATATTGGATGATTCTGCGCCGTCAACGTTCAGTGCTAATACAGGAAGTAGAAGTGGAGGTAGTTGTGTTTTCAGCCTCTGAAATATGGAGATTTCCTGCTTTTCACGGTTTTATATCATTCATTCATTCATTACACAGAATATTTTGGGGTTTTGCACTGACAAAACAAGACATTTTAAGACATCACCTTGGACTTTGAAAAACTGGGATGGACATTTCTAACATTTTAATCTAGAAAATAATCGAAGGATTAATCGATAATGAAAATATCTTTGGTTGCAGCCTAAAGTACATCTATGTACATGTACTGTTGATTAAAGGTTCCCTGTGGATTTCAGACCTCTAGCAGTACTACAGACCTGTTTTTCTTTGAGTATTTGTTCATCTGTTTATATGACATGACTCTGTTGTTGTCTTCATGTAATCAGTAACAGAAAACAGCATCAGAAAATGAGGCTTAATACTAAAATATCATTTATATATCCATATTTTCTCTAGAATTCTCTAGTTTGATTTAAGCCTTTGATGCGTATGATCATACCAATGTGATCATTATAGTAAAATGATCTGAACATATGAAATTCAATAGGGCTTTAATTTTGAAATTTGACAGATATTGATATTGTCTGAGGGAGTCTGTTATTATATTTGAACAACCATTTGAACTCTTTAAATACTTTTATCTTCTCAGATGTTACTGGATATAAGATTGGGCTTCTAATGACTAAAGCAAGTTTCATTTAGCCGTTTTTGTAATTCACTACCGATAAGTAGCTTTAGAATTTGATCCAAGTCAACAACAACAACAACAACAACCTTACCTTGCAGTAAGTGTGTTTCAATAAAACGCTTTAAAAATATGCCCGTTGAGGGTTCCTGTTCCTAACCTCCTGACATAAGCCAACTGTCAGTGAAGACACAAATCCTGTCCTGACGAAAAATGAAAGGGAAGCTCCTCCTGCTTTTTTTCTGCCCTCGACTTCTTCCCGTTTTCAGTCTGCATGACTGACATCAGCACGGACCAAAACATATAATCTGTGTGACCCAGTTTCCATGGCAATGCACGCTGGCTGTTGCTGCAGCGGCAACACGGGCAGAAGGAGGTTACTCCATCCAGAGCCACAGCCTGCTGTGTGAGGGGGGATAACACTGGCTCACTAAATCCTGAGGCCCTGCATCTGATATCGTCTGCCACTGAAATATACATACAGTACCGGCTCGTACAAGAGCACTAAAGAATGGAGAGGAGAAACGTTGGATGACTACTGACTAGACGTGCAGACTCATCAGGGGTGAACAACCTTTACTAACGCCCCAGACAGACACGATCCTCCTGCTGGGGGCTGAAGTAGCATTTTCATCATAAATACAAGGCAAAATACTTTTTGTGTTACACTGTATGAACAGCAAACACCTACTTTTCCAGAACTCAATAGGCTATAAATATAGGCTATTGTACAATAGGAGGAGTTTCACTTATGCAAATTAACGGCAATTACTTCTTTAATTGTTTTATCACGTTCTGCTTTTGAGTCCAAAGGCTGCTTAAAAACATCAAGGATGAGGAGTTGGGTTCAGGGTTTGTTTTTTCTTTGTCCTGGTGATCGGAACATCTGGGTGATGCCGTCTATTGTGCATCAGCACACCGTCCTCATCTTATTCACAGCTCTCTCTCTCTCTCTCTCTCTCTCTCTCTCTCTCTCTCTCTCTCTCTCTCTCTCTCTCTCTCTCTCTCTCTCTCTCTCTGTGTCAGTCTGTTCTTGTTGTTTCGCGGTTAAACAGTTATGAAGCTATTCTTGGACAATCTTCTAGTTACTCTGCTGAGGCACTTTATTCAGCTCAGATATGATGCAGCTAATGAACATATATTTATAAAGGCTTTGGCAGATCATATCCTATTAATCAAAAATACATTACATCTGAAATATAGAAATAAATAAGCACCCATTGTAATTTTGTCCCAAACACTTGGGAATCCATCAGATAATCATTATAGGTAACTACGCTTTTATTGTGTAGTGAACCAACCTCCATACTGAACTACATCATTTGAAGATTTTGGGGTCTGATGATGGTCAAAAAGATCCATCAGCAGCCTCAAACCATAAATCAGATTTTTTTTGGAGCTGAACAAACGGACTTACCCGAGGCCTCTTCCAGACCACGCGTCCGATCCTGTTGCCCTGGTGAAGCAGCGAGTCGTCGATGGCGGGGAAGCGGGGGTCTTCAAAGAGCAGGCCGCTCTGCAAGCACTGCCTCTTCAGGGTGGAGTACTGCTGCCCGTCGAAGGCCTTCACTGAAGTGAACATACTGCAGCCCTGAAAGGATAAGGAGGGACACGGGTCAGCCCGGACTTATGCATCACATAGTACACACTATTATAGCATCAGACTTTTATTAAACGCTGTATTTCATCACAGAACACTGGTTTATTTTCAACAAGTAGCTGACTTCCCCTTTGAAACCAATTTCCCTCCCTACACCTCTGCTCTTCAACTCACTCACACACAGCTGACTGACAGCGGACTTTAAAACTTTGACAGTGGAAGCTCTGTCGGAATAGGAAGTCGATGTGTGCTGCTGCCTTGAGCACAGCCTGGATTCACTGGGTCAAAATGATTTATCCGTCAATTCACTGAAATCCTCCAGGGCCTAATTATCACTGCTATGCATTAAAGGAGCCATGTACACATTGATCAGCTCGGTATACCAGCAGGGCGTTCGGTGGGACTGGTGAGTCAGCATGAGGACCAACTAAGATGGAGCTATAGAAGGCATAATCAATACAGAAACATTGGACAATCCCAAACTTCTCCATCGTTTAACCTACATTTTATTCTATTACTATAGTGCCTCTCCAGAGACAGGTCATTTCAGTCTTAATTTATAAACATTTACAGACCTACATGACTAATTAATCATTTAGTGAATCCAACTGATAATAAATATAATGCTCATTAGTTGCACACTTAGAGAGAGATAACTGTGCTTTCACACTTCGAGCACCATAATCAACAAGTCCTGCACAGTCGATATGTTCTTCAGATGAGAAAAATTATTCATGGCTGATTATTTGTTGGTCAGTAATTTGCATACTTCGTCATATACCCGTGTCATTTAATTTCATGATCAATACCTTTGGCCAGCCAGAACTATTGACAATGGACATGAGCTTTATTCTAGACATTCAAAGCCTCTCAGGTCATTGAACGCCTCAACAACAATGTTTCCAGCAAGGTTGGACTCTTTATAGGCTGACTAAATACATACATTATGTTTCTTGGCGGTTTCTACTTAGAGCACCTCCTCTAATCACAGTTGTCAGAGGTTAAAAAGTTTAAACTTTAACTTAATTATCACAGGCTTTCTGCAGTGTTAACCAAATTAAATTAATCTTAAATACCACATAGAATGCAATTTAATACCTGTTCACTGTACATTCTTTCTCTGTATATAAAGTTAGAGTTATTCCGATACTGATAGTAGTACCTGCATTTATAGCCAAAAATGCTGGATTGTATATCGGCGAGGACGTGAATCTATGCACCGATCCAATATTGTGTTATCATATGATTTAACAGTTTATTTATGCTATACAGGAACTACAACAACACGTGTTTGCTACGCGATCCATCCATCCTGCCCGAGTGAAAACTAGTCTTACACACCTGTGGTTAAACGCTCCCTGATGAAGCTACATTATGAACAACAAATCCATGTCGATATCGTCAGGAGGAGAGTTTAGTTAGCGTTAGCTGTTAGCAGCCGGAGGGCAGCACAGTCCTGCATGGTTAAATAACGGAGCATTCGAGCTCTATTGAGTAAAGATTTGTATTAAGTGGAGGTAAATTATAACGCTGTATGTAACTTGTGAAATGTAGTTTCTGGTGAGTAACTTGAATAAATATAGCTGTTTGAAAGACATCCAATGAGTTGCTCAACCACACAGTAATGTTTTTAATACCGTGTTTAAAGTTCTTTAACAGGGTTCCTCTTAATCCCAGTTGGACTTTATTTGAACCCAACGGTGTGCAGATCTGACATTACCATGAACTGACTGTAACACAGGTCGGGTGGGTATCTGGGTTGATTTAAGTCTCAGGACATAATTCTATTTTAAATTGCTCTGGATGAGATTTTCCTAATTTGAATGTATAATTTGATGTGTGGAGATGAGGATTCTGGAGGCCAGCTTTGTAATTCTTAAGCAGTGGTAGAGGTCACGTCTACATGCAGATCAATAGAGGTGTGCCGTCTTCAAAGCCATCTAGCTCATTGCTAATTTGTCAATAGATAAATGATTTTTTTTAAACTCTCAAATATCGATATCGGCTTCACAAATCCTTTCTTCTGTTTTTTTAACAGTGAACACAATCTTTTCTTAACAAAGTAGTTTTAGTTACATAAATGAATATAATGAAATGAATGAAAATCAAGTAGATGACACAACAGTATAGCCCAACACTGCTTGAGGCCCTTGAGTATTGACAGGACTCAGCTTCTGACCGACGCTGTGCTCCAGCAGCGAGGCGGAGGACAGATGTTCATATGAAGTCGGAGGAATCGCTCCTCTAGAACTCGTGCTCAGCTCTCAGCTCTCTTTTTTTAAGCACAAATGTAAAATATTTATCTGGTCTTAAAGGACAATATTTTCTAGTTTTTTATAGCCTTCTGTGTGATAGTAAACTAAATATCTTTTCAACTGTGCAGACAAAATAAGGAACAATATAAATGAACTTGATTTATGGACCAAACAATGAATCAATGAATCAAGTAAGTAATCCGCAGATTAATTGATAATGACGTTGTTGCAGATACCACAGTCTAGGTTCAACAGAGCTCTGGCTTCAGCAGTTAGTCACAGAAACAAATGAAGTTATTCGGCATGAAACAATATAAAACTGAAGAAATAACAATATGTTAAACATAATATTACTTTATAATCTAAAACTCATCAGCCATTCCAACCGGCACGCTGCGGTACAGCAAAGTAATAAAAGCAAATCCAGACGAAGTCTCTTAATGCCACATTACTACCAAGCAGCGCTATCAAATAAAGTATTCTTTAATTGGGCTGAGTCGACCTGTTCACCTCCCAGCGGTGCTCAATGTCATCTAATATCTCAGGAAAATGAAGTGAGCAGCAAAAGGAGAGATGCCGAATCAAGAGTGCAACAGGAGCAACTTAGAATGGAGAGACGGAACCTTTCAAATATCATTAACCTGAAAGCATTAAGAAATAACTTTTCCTATTATTCAAGGAGATACAGCTCTGTCTGTGGACTCATGTTGAATGCAAACAGGCTGTGAAGCTGGCAGCCGGCTTGGAGCAGCATTATACAACTGAAACCTGCACTCAATACAGCTAGATTCCAATATCCACTTAAATATATAACAATTATACACATTTAACCGCTTTAAAAGATGCATTTATCACTATGATCAAATATGTATATGGTTAAAAGGAGTCTCCCCTATTAGAAGATCCCTTTAAAACACCCAAACAAAGTAAAATAACACCTGCTCTATGTTTTAAGCATTAACTAAAGCCTCGAGTCTGCAGTCTTTCACCGTTATTAAAGGGAATATTCAGTAACTACAATACAGGAGCATTAACAAGCTGGCCGACTCTTGACTGAGTGATAAGTAAATTCCCGGGGGAATGAGGAGGTCGCAGTTGGAAGCTAAATCTGACAGATGGCCTGGTGTCTTGGCACGTGACCGCAATGGGGAAAACCATGCTGTCATTTGGCCTAGGTGGACGGCAAACAGCATTACCTGCAGAGAGCTAATCCTGAGAAGCTGCTGCACTGGATACCTTCACTACTGTGGCGAGCACAACAACAAAGCGCCACTCTGAATTACAGCTGAATAAACGTTGTATGTATGAACACATTTAACGAGGAATTCTAATGTGCCCAATCCTCCAGTGTTCCAGTCGTAACGGCACTGTCAGAAGCACATAATCTAACATTTGATGTCAACAGCTGCCTGTTTACACATCCAACAGGCATGTAGCAATATTAGCATTCATTTGGAGTCGTGTTTAAGTCCAATATTGACCAATATTTTTACCCCCATTTTGATCTCTTTTGCAGAAATCAGCCTCCTGCTGCTGCTGGAAATAAAGAATCCAAAACAATGAGGTAAAAAACAACAACACATATAATGTTCCTTGTTTGTAATTGGTTAAATGGTATCATCTCTGTGCCCTCTGAAGGTATTTTTCATATCGACTGAGTAACTGACAAACGTAACTCTGTTTCAGATCGACACTCCTGTTCTGTTGTTCCGGTTATGATTAATTAATTGAATCAATTATTTTTCAATCTTGGACACGTCAAGCATCTCTGCTCTAAATGAAAGTTATCCATGCTTGAATGTTCTGCTCTGTGATGTAAACAAGTCTTTGCCTGTTGCATCATTTAAAGAAATCTTACCAGCAACTTCTGCATACCAGACTTAAGGCCTTACACACCGGGGGCGTGGCGAATTAACAACCCGAAAATGCAAAAATACTCGCCTGCAAATATTGTACGTCTAAGGCTTTTATTGCAAAAGGTAAGAACGGAGGGAGTAGATCTGGTATGCATGCACTGCCTTCGTATCAGTACTGGCCGATACCCAAAGCCCAGGTAAGACCCTGAGTCAACGTCTCTGAGCTCAAGTTGTCACACGACATTCAACGATATCCTTTCAAATGAGATTGATGATTAAAGCGTCGCAAAAAGTGAGAGCACAAAATGTTCAACAGTCATATAAGTGGATACGGACGCTTTGATGTGGGAAGAGAATACTGTTGGACTGCAGACAGACGTTTGTGAGGACGTGATCTGTGATGATATAAGACTTCAAGCTCACCTACACGTGGGGGAGGCAAGAGAGATGGAAAAGGAATAAAGTGGAGATACATTACAAACTGCCCACGCTACAGGAAGAACGGGACTGCAGCAAACCACAGGAGGCTGGAAGGAATCGGTTATTCATAAAGTGGCTAAAAGTGGCCAGTTTGTTTACGATATTTCAGAGATAATGGGCAATAAAGACAGACGAGAGACGCAGTGGCTGGGAAAGGGTTGATGTTGGCAAGACAGCACTCGCGTCATTCATCATACCAAGTTATCGCCAAATTTAAGTGAACTGACAAAGAGTGAGAGCGTTGCACATCATAACCATCAACGGCAGACGATGTTAACGGTGTAAAGCATGCTGAACCGTGAGAAATAATATGTTGCAGGGTAAGAAAACTTCTGCCGAGGATGAAATAATGATGAAATGTTAACTAATTCATGACTGACAGACGATGCAGACGCCCCCCCCCCCAAAAAAACAAACAAACAACTGAGTCATGATTCATAAATGACAGCTCCTGCATTGGAGAGAGGTGAAAAGCTGGAGGGAAAAGCCGTCCAATCAATGATCAACACTCCGAGGCGCAGTAGAGGGAAACAAAGTGCCCCTTCCAGCAGATGGGAGCACTGTGGACACATAATACAGTGTGTAATGCGGTGTGTATTAATGAGCAGCTACACTTCAGCTCCAACTTGTTGATCAAGCATAACAAATAATTCATAATGCTTACTCTCTACTCATTTCCAGCTGTGCCGAGCTTGTGTTTCGCTGATTGTTTACTGAGCAGTAACAGAAGCCAGTCATCCTGTGAAGCTAAAGGCCGAAGCGGTCTTGATAAACCACTCCCAGTCCCAGAATCCATCCATGATCTTTGCCGCTATTGAACAACACACGCGAACAAATGACTGAATGTGAGCGTCAGTCCAGACTGCAAGCTGCCCTTGCTTCATTCTGCCATGCTAGCCTTATTGAGCAGGAGAAACTGCTGGTCAGCAGATGTCAACATTCATCTCATTTTACTGCTGTAGCATGGTACCGTGCAGCACACTGGCAAATGTACCACAGAGTTTTGGGGAGTGGTACAACGACAGAATTCCTCACAACACGACTGTCAAAGCGATGTATGGCTAACGAGCACACTTCTCTCTCTATGACAGATGCTTCCGATGTTGATGTGACACTATTTGTGTGTACGTGTACGTGCAACAGGCAGTGGCGTGTAGGCATGGAGTTCACAAACTAGACTTAAAGAGGTGACAGAAGAAGCCCCACCGCAATCAAACGGAGGTCGAAAATAAAATTCGACAGCCTCAAGACACAGCAGCACCTATGTGGAAATGCTAATTCAAAAGATTGTTATTAATTGATATTGTTCCATTTGATTATAAACTTCTTTTAATCCTGCAATAACTCTTTTTTTGGGGGGGCACCGACCGTCACCTTTTAAAGTTGACGTGTCAAACTTGTTGGCAACTAGTTGCCCATTTACACATAAAGTAAGTGAAAGATTCTGACGTTACGAGGACATTTTACCGGGATTGTTCAGCAATGATTGTACCAAAAACAGAAACAAAAAAGATTTGTAAAGAAATAATAATAAATACTATTTATCCAACTTTCAACAGGATCATCAAAGACAGACTTAATGATGATGTCCTCACTGTTGCATGTTTCTAACAGGGCACTGCCATCACTAAAAACTCTCTCCCCTCTTATCAGTCACTCCACGCCATTTTTAACAAGCCACGAATTATGAAATTATGAGACATGTTTGATTGTTTTTGGGAGAGGGTGCTATTACAACCTCTTTTAACATAGTCAAATTATTTTACAAAATGTGGAAAACATGCACCTCAAATAGATGTTTTACATTCGTCGCATTAGTGATTTAATCTTGCTGTTTAAGTCAGAAGCAGACGACAGTGCACATGACAGCGCTGCTAGTGCGTTGGAGTTTGTTTACTCACAGGCATCTGTGCTGACTAACAATGGCAAACATGTTGTTTTTGTTTCAGCAACCAAAAGCTGAAGCAGTGACTTTTATAAAGTAATTGTAAAGTAAAAGTAAATTTGCCTCAAGGGGTTTTACAATGTGTGTACAGCATACGGATAAGGAAAAACTTCTGATTGTTACTTGTTTGCTTCCATTCAAACATGGATCTTAAGTTCAGAGTTTGCCTGTATTGTTGTCACACTCTCTACATTGCATTACATTAATCTGAGTACATTAAGACCGGCCTATCACTACGCAGCAGTCTAAAATATCTTTGTCAACCTGATGCCTGGTCTGGGTTGGCTGAACATACCTGATGCAGCTAATCAGGGGAGGTGAAGAAAGGGAAAAAGTGAAAAAGCAGATGGTGGGCTTTCCAGGACCACAAACTGAACAGCACCACGGACAGCTCCTGTGATACAACCCTGAGAGGGACCAGCGTGTTCAGCCCGAGACAGACACCCTTCCTTTTGACCAATCAATTGGACTGAAAAAAAAAAAGTCAAATCTACTTATATCCAGGGAGGCAGTGTTACCAGAGGATAATGGTGTGTCTGCCTACACTTAAACAATTTTCTCCACACTCTGCCTGGCATCACGAGGGAGAGCCTGTTACTTTAACTGTTTTATTCTGGGTAGGATGTTGCCATGTTGTTGCTAGTGTCTCCAGGCTACTGAGTTTCTCTGGGGTGACCATTTCAATACTGATGTACAGCAAGCATGCACAACGCAATGTTAACTCGCGCTAAGAAATGCAAACACAAGTGACAAATCAATCCAGTGGATAGATCTGCACACATAGTGGAGACACAGTGCATGTTGGCTGCAGGATTATAGAATTAGAGATTGATGCAAACATTAGCGACAAAGTACATTAGAGGCTATAATTATGATGGCATTAATGATAAGGAACAAGAGACACCGCATGCTACTCTTTGAGTCCCCGGAAAAAGAATGTCACAGGGATCTGTTGTCAAGGAAAGTGTGTTTCCCGATTAGATGTAATGATCAGAACCGCTCACAAAACTGTGCAGCATGCACATCATTAATGTGCACCGCAGGCAGCGGCAGAATCTGGCAGTGCACTGGTCAGAGATCAGGGAGGACTGCGTTCGGGTGTTGGTGGTGGGGGAGTGACTGATTGAGTCTGCTACTGCTGACAGACTGATTACACTCAGAGAGGAGAACAGTGAGCAGTAATGCACCAGTAAAGAGAGAGAGAGAGAGAGGGGGTGAGACAGAGTCAGAGTTGGAGAGAAAAGAGAGAGAGAATAGGGAGGGGTGCGCCAGACCATCCTTCATCCATCCTCCTCTTCTTCATCAGGGAGGAGGGCTATCCCAGCTCCCCGTCCTCCCAGTATCGTGATCTCCTCTCTGCAGTATCTTCAGTAGGCTTGGCCATGACACGCGACACTACAAGTCACTTTTCTCTGCTCACAAGCAGTTCGCTGCTATGAGCTCACATAGATATGTTTACGTGAGGGAGAACAGGTTAAATAACAAGATATAAACTACTGTATTTGCAGGAATACTATAAAGCATGAGGTTGCACTCAATATCGGAGTGCTGATTAAAGTAGTGTATTGATTTCTCTCTCTCTCATGAACATTAATGCCACATATTAGGGTGAGACAATTATGCTTCGACAATGTTTGAACTTTAGAATCTTACTAAAGTGCATTAAGGTTGAGAGACCCCCAGATCGAGACACAGTTGGGTCAACCCTTATTTGATAAGAATTGATTTTAAAGATCTATCTGGACAAATTATTATTGTTATTTTAGTATTAACTTGGACTGTATATTATTCCACATTGTATTTGGATGACAGTAGTAAGAATAAAATCTGTTATTAAATCAGCCGCTGTTGAAAGTTCTCTGACCATTTGAATGATTTTAGCTCGTGTTGAAAAACAAGACCTTCTGGGAGTCTTAAGACTCCACTGTTTAAACCATGATACCTGGCAAGCAGGGGCACAGGGGCATGGACTATAAATGTGCACCAGTCCTCTCTAGCTCTGCAGAACAATACACTTCTTGAAATTATTAATGTATTACTCCTCATGCAGGGGAAGCCAGGGCTCCACAGCGTCAGACAGAGGCAGGAACGGTGTCCAAAGCATGACACAAAATAAAGTCCCTGTTTGATTTCAGAATGTCTAGTAATACATGTTCAGTCATTTGGTTTTCTGTTCCCAAACTATGAGCTTGAAGATATCGGTGCTCCTGAATGCTCCACTGGTGTTATTGGCAGATATGGATCCTGTATAGATTAATGGCAACTTTGGGTCTATCTTTTGCTGTGCGTTGTAATAATAAAAACGCAGTATTGACACAGTATAGTAAAAAAAAAAAAAAAACCTTTTGCAATACCCAATGAACTTACAAAAGCTCAGCAGAATACAAACACAAACAAGCACAGCAGGACCAGCAGCCTTGACATCCAATATGCCGCTATTATTGCGCAAAATGTATAGCCGATTTCACACCAGTAAAATACAGTTGTTTGATGAATATTTCCTCTCATCCCTCTCAACATGTTATCGGCTCAGCAAGCCCTGCACAGAGAGGCCACATAAGGCCACATGACGGTAAGTATTCGCATCTCGGATCTCCTGAGATTTGACAAGTCGCTTCGTGCGGCTCGCCGACCGTCGCCTCCTCTCTCCATCTACAGCAGCCTTCCTGCATGCCCGGGGATGCCGGATGAAGCTGTTTCACGGCCGCGGTTACCTGATCTGAGGCCTCTCTCGTGGCAACGTGATTCTCTTTCGGGTCCTCCTCCGGGGGTCCAGCCGGTCCGGCTCTCACTCTCCTGGGGCTGCAGGGATTCCTCACCACGCTCCCTCTCTCTCTCTCGCTCTCTCCCTCCCTGGTGGAGCTCCTCTCTCTCTCTCTCTCTCTCTCTCTCTCTCCTCTCCTCACCCGAGCAGCGTCAAGCTGCCATGAAGGAAGACGGCACGGAAAACGGAAGTGCTCTTCTGCCGATTTCAAATTTGCAAAAAATAAGCGTTTTTTCGCCAAAATGTAATTGTATTTCTACCATAGATTATTCAACTTAATTTCCAGACACATGAGTCTATAAAGCAACAAAACAACAAAATAAAAAGCTAAATACAATACAATACGAGGACACCAAGACGCATAATGATTGCAGTTCAAGTCACTCGTGGTTAAAAAACATACAGATATTTGTTCCAATGTTTCCAAAAACAAGAAGAATACCTTGTATCACTCTGTGTTGGCTCAGTTAAAAAAAAAATCACCAAAAAGGCACCAAAAACCCAAATGTGTTACAAAACAGCAGACAAAATAAACGCTAATTATCCGTAATTGCTGGATATGTAAATGAGCAGAATTTAGCTATCTAGCACGTCTTATCCGATCAATTAAAAAAGCTAACTGTGTGAGTGAGTTTTGTTGTTTCCGCTGCTTTTGTATCTGTTACACCAACACTGTTATTGGTGAATTGCAATAATATAGAACGGCGTATACATTGGACTTCATAATTCAAAAAGTGCATGGCTTCTGATTTGGTGTTGATGTGGTAAACTCAGCTCCCCTGGTGCAGGTGAATAACAGTATCATGTAACCATAGTGTTGGTGAATGCAACCCCAGGCCTGGCTCCTCCTGCAACCAATTCCCTAAATTAGGGCCAGATTAAAGCTTTAGACGGCCTATATTCACTCTGGGCCTCTCTGGTGTCTAGAGTTATAGGTGTTCAGTTAAAGTGATCACTTCACATGCAACAAGGCATCCTCATTACACTGCATACTTAGTTGACTACTTCTGTTGTAGCTTTGATCTGAGGCATATTGTGTGTTAGAATCACTTGGACACAAGTGTGGAATGCACCTTTTATTTTCTGGGGTGCAATTCTCCATCCTACATCCTTTTGGCGCACACGTTTACAAACTCCTGATTTGTTATTTTTATTTTGAAGGTGTGAACAGGAAGTGTAATATTTATTTTGCCAGTACATGACAGTGGTGCTCAGGCGGGACGCAGACAGGGGGATGCTGCAGACTGAGCATGCGCCCAGCTAACAGGCCCGCTGTAATCCCCCTTTGTCAGAAATAACAAGAGGATGCAATATGCTGTAATTAAGGAAACACTATCCACCTAATTACAGCCCTCCAGTTTCAACGCTGCCCATATGTAACACCTAAGAAGATATATCTGAGCTTTAATTGATATTTATGTTTGAGAAATAACAATAAAGGCAGGATTGTTTTGGATACCAGGTATAAACACTGGTTATATACTGCATACAAATATTGATTCAATATATTGCCTTGTTAACCTTTTAATATGTACTATTAGTTATAGCCTGCACATTTATTCAAAACGCATGCAGCAACAATGTATCCTGTCAGCAGAAAAATGGCTTGAATTAAATGTAACTTTGTGATAAAGTCCATGTTGTAAAGGTTCTACGTTGATGTGAATTATCTGTACTGAGAATACAGCTGTGGCACCGGGGTCACCAGTTACCTGAATTCCAGGTTTATTGACATGTCTCAATATTTGCGTATTAAAAAAACTACAAAGTAAAGGTATTAGTATTTAAATATATCTGTCCATCCACCAGTAGTGGAAGAAGTACAAGATAATTTACTGAGTATTAAATACATTATGGTACTACTAACTAACTAATTACTAATGCACTTGGTCGGGGTGGAGCTCAGTTTAAAGTATAAATTGGCACAAAATAGAAATACTCAACAAGTTCATCAAATTTGTACTTGAGTACCACCACTGATCACTGATCAACAACACACAGAAGGTGTCCTGATGGTGTAAAGCTCTGTGTCAACCAGAGAGAGAAGAGGAAGATTTAAATATAAATGAGAGTAATTGGTTGAAATACATTATTTCTAAAACTCAGTATTATTTAGAAGTCTCTGGAAAAAAATGATTCAAATACTGATTAAAATGCTTTGACAGCGACACCTGCAGGACTGACAATAAAGTGGTGTTTGGAGGAAACACGCTAATCTGTGATTGGCCAAAACACAAAAAGCCATTTAAAAAAACAAAACAATTTTATTCAAGCTTTTACAGCAGAGTCCAACTTTCTATTGGGTCTATTGGAGCCATGGATGACTGCTGAGCTGTTTCAGGGTGGGACGGTGATCGGGGTTTACTTTCAAACATGTCCGTAACAAATCCTGGCAATCTGGAGAGAAAGAAGGAGAGTAAAGGTGAGGACGACTGCTCCGGTGATCCATCAGAAAGTGAAATAAAATTACCAGATTTGTGTCTGCCATCATGTATCTTTATGTTGTTTTTTTACTTTTGGAGAGCTCGTTGTTGATTCTCAACTTGTCTGTATAAAACCTGACGGTATCGAATTGTACACCTCTGTGGAGGGTTTCAAACAGGACGACAGCTATCTGGAATACTGTGGTGGGTCCGGCTCTGTACATGCCATGATTGAACCACTCTGGGGGGATGCTAGTACCTAGAATATACATAATAAAAAGACAGTGAGGATGAGGAGCTTTGTTTGAATGTAGAAGTCACAGATGGGTACAAGTTAGTGAAGAGCAGGCGTAAAGCCAGACATCTTACCGTAGAAGATGTGATAACTGTCTTCTCTCTCGCCAAAGCAGCTCAGACCAAAGTCAATAAGAACTCGCAGGACGTCCAAGCTGCTCTCGATCAAAATGTTTTCTGACTTAATGTCCCGGTGGAAGATGTGTTTTTTTTCCAGGTAAATTGCTGCTTCGACCAGCTGTTTCAGTATGATCCGTCTGACAGAAAGAGAGAGATGAGGGATCAGAGAGGAGGATGTTCTGACATGTTTTCATGGCTGTGACTCTGAGCCGACTACAGCAGCTTACCTTGGCTTCCTCCTCGTCTAAGGACCCTCCGTTAACTTTGATGTAGTCGTAAAGGTCTTCGGCAGGGATCGGTCTCTCCAGCACCAGGATCAGCTCCTGGTCCAGATCGTACCAGTCCAGCAGGGATACGGGTGCCGACGTCCCCTTTGATTCGGCCGCCAGTTTTAACATAACGACGACCTCCGCAGAGAGCTCTTTCCCATCATCGTCCTGAAACATCACAACAGAGATGAGAGAGAAACATGATTCATCCGTAATACATTCAGAAACAGAGTGTTGAATACAGCAGACTTTAACAGCAGCAGGTGTTGCTCACTCACCACGTGTTGGCAGATAATGTTCTCTTGGGAATGTGTTTGATGGAAACCTACGAGATACAAACAAGACTTTGGTTAGCACTTCCTGTCCAAATGGTATGTGTGTGTGCGTGTGTGTGTGTGTGTGTGTGTGTGTGTGTGCGCAAGAACGTGTGTGTAACACTTACAGGTAGATAATCTGCTTTGCGGTAGCCAGCAAATACAGATCCACATCCTCCTTCGCCAAGTTTGTCCAGCTATAAGTATTTGGCCTCAAGTGCTAAACAGACAAATACATTCTTTATTTTAATGCATTTGTGAGTAACGGTACATTTATGTTACCTAAACTCTAATATGAATCCCTCCCACATTTGTTATACCTAATTTAAATTATGATTTTACACTGATCATAATAAAGCCAAACTACTGACCTGTTGTGCCCTGTTTGGGGTCTTGTTCAGTCTCTTTAGGTCCAGCCTGATCTTCGTCCCGTTTGGTCTGTCACCATCACTGACGTCCTTCCTCTTATCACCCCTCTTGCTCACATCCTCCACAGATGTGTTGCAGCTTTCTACAGATGAGGAAAGAAAACAGAGGAACATCAGTTTGTTGACAAGAACGGGCCGTCATTCGATGTCTCCCAAAACACACAAGAGTCGTTTCCGCTCTGCTGCCTCTTAGTTAAAGCAATAGCTCATCATTTATAGCAGATCAGTTTTGAATTTGATGTGACCCTCTTGATTAACAATTAAATTTTCTCAATATCGGCCAACATCATAGTTTTTTTAATTTATTTTTTAACCTGCTTGGATTACAATATCGGCATAAAGTACGTTGTCAGGCGGATACATTGGTCTCAAGTTTTGACATATCAGCACCAAAAATTTAATTGCTCTGTTGCAACGAGGCAAAAGCAAAAATCTCAGAGACAGATATTTAAAAACCTGAGGGAAAATCAGACTATCTGCATAAATCGATATTAAAAGAGGGAGAACATGTGTTTTTCTTTGTAATTTAGGTGAATTGAATCAATATACCAACGCCCCAGCTGATGTACATTTCTGCTAAAGATCTGAGTTCATCTTCCACCACTGTCTGAACCCTGTGTTCAGTAAACTGATGATGGGATACATTTCCAACAGCAGTTTTACATGATCAGCTTACCAGAGTCTGCTGGGATGGACGCCGACTCTTTTTCATACTGGACGAGGTCAAGTCGGCTCTTTTTCTCCTCCTTCTGTGGTCCCTCTCCATCGTCTCGGACCCTTGTCCAGCTGCACTTTCTAGGCGCTGCACTTTGTTCAGATGTGCCGACATTGAGCTCTACAAATGAGAAAAACAAAGTGTAACATCAATTGAATCCAATGAATGCAGATTTCTGCCAGGACTTCTCACTTACCTGGACTTCTTTTAAGGGCCGGAGATCCGTGGCCCTTTGTCTTCTTTGCAGAGTCTTTGTCCATTAGGATGGTGAAGAAGTTTCTAATCCGAAAAATTCAGTGTGCGCCGATCCAATGCTTGAAACTATCTCAGCGAATTTACCTGAACTGTGTTCTTAAGCTGTGGTGAACAGAACATGGAACATGAGGAAACGTTCTATCATGAGGTGAGTGTTCCAGAATATGCAAATGAGTGTTGAGAGTAGATTGTGTGTGTACAGTATATTTGTATAGATGGAGGTTATCCACTGAATATATTCATACAATGCATAAAATACTGTGTACAAGCACACA